CTGGCTGAAACTGGCTGATCCTGGCTGAAACTGGCTGAAACTGGCTGATACGATGATACTGGCTGATCCTGGATGATATTGGCTGATCCTGGCTGATATTGGCTGATTCGGGTTGAAGCTGGCTGATCCTGGCTGATATCGGCTGATACTTGCTGAAACTGGCTGATACTTGCTGATGTTGGATCATCTTGGCTGATCCTGATATTACTGATGCCAACTGATACTGGCCAAACAGCTTGTGATGCTGGTTTGTCTTGGCTGATACTGGCTGATACTGTCTAATACTGGCTGAAACCGGCTGATGCTTGCTTGATGCTGGCTGAAACTGGCTGATCCTGGCTGATATTGGCCGATATTGGCTGATACTGGATGATATTGGCTGATGATACTGGCTGAAACTGGCTGACTGGCTGAGACTGGCTGAAACTGGCTGATACTGGCTGAGACTGGCTGAAACTGGCTGATATTGGCTGTGCTGAAACTGCATGATATTGGATGATACTGGCTGATGCCAGCTGATACCGGCCAACAGCTTGGCTGATCCTGGCGATGCTCGCTGATATTGGCTGATACTTGCTGATGCTGGATGGTACTGGCTGATCCTGGCGATATTGGCTGATACTGGCTGAAACTGGCTGATACCGGGATACTGGCCGATACTGGCTAAGACTGGCTGAAACTGGCTGATACTTGCTGATGCTGGATGATATTGGCTGATCCTGGCTGATATTGGCTAATACTGGCTGAAACTGGCTGATACTTGCTGATGCTGGATGATAATGGCTGATCCTGATACTGACTGATGCCAGCTGATACTGGCCAACAGCCTGGCTGATGCTGGCTGATATTGGCTGATGCTACCGGTACTGGCTGAGACTGGCTGAAGCGCTGATACTTGCTGATGCTGGCTGAAACTGGCGGATCCTGGCTGGTATTGGCTGATACTGGATGATATTGGCTGATACTGGCTGAAACTGGCTGATGCTGGCTGAAACTGGCTGATACTTGCTTATGCTGGATGATACTGGCTGATCCTGGCTGAGACTGGCTGATATTGGCTGAAACTAGCTGATACGGGCTGAAACTGGCTGATCCTGGCTGACACTGGCTGATACTAGCTGAAACTGGCTGGCCAACAGCTTGGCTGATCCTGGCGGATGCTCGCTGATATTGGCTGATACTTGCTGATGCTGGATGGTACTGGCTGATCCTGGCGATATTGGCTGATACTGACTGATACTGGCTGAAACTGGCTGATACTGGCTGATCCTGGCTGATCCCGGCTGAAACTGGCTGATACTTGCTGATGCTGGATGATATTGGCTGATACTTGCTGATGCTGGATGACAATGGCTGATCCTGATATTGGCTAATACTGGCTGATACTGACCGGTACTGGCTGAAACTGGCTGTTTCCTGCTGGTGCTGGATGATATTGGCTGGCCCTGGCTGCTCCTGAAAAGCCCTTAATAAAGGCTGTAACAAGGCTTCAATATGGCTTGTGCTTGCTTGTAGTACAACTTTAGTACTGGAAATGCCTCGTTTCGGCTCCTGCCTGGATTGTGTTTCTTGTAGTACAACTTTATTGCTGGAAATGCCTCGTTGCGGCTCCTGGCCGGATTGTGCTTGCTTGTAGTACAACTTTAGTATAGGAATTGCCTCGTTTCGGCTCCTGCCTGCAATGTGCTTGTGCTTGTAGCACAACTTTAGTGCTGGAAATGTATCGTTTCGGCTCCTGGCTGGATTGTGCACTTGCTTGTTGTTCAACTTCAGTACTGGGAATCGTTTCGGCTCCTGTGGATTGTCCTTGCTTGTAGTACAACTTTAGTACTGGAAATGCCTCGTTTCGGCTCCTGCCTGCATTGTGCTTGTGCTTGCGTGCAATTTGTGCTGGACATGCCTCGTTTCGTTTCCTGGCTGGATTGTGTGCTTGCTTGTAGTGCAACTTTGGTGCTGGAATGCTTCGTTTCGGCTCCTGAATGGAGTGTGCTTGCTTGTAGTACAACTTTAGTACTGGAAATGCCTCGTTTCGGCTCCTGGCTGGATTGTGCTTGCTTGTAGTACAACTTTAGTACTGGAAATGCATCGTTTCGGCTGCTGGCTGGATTGTGCATTCTTGTAGTACAACTCTCGTAGTAGTACTACTACTACTACTACTACTACTACTACTACTACTACTACTACTACTTCTTCTACTACTACTACTACCACAACTACTCTTACTGGTATTGCTACTACTCCTCATCGCCACTGTCATCATCGCCAAGCTCATCGTCATCTAATCGTGATCATCATCATCATCATCATCGCCGTCAAGCTCATCAAAACCATCATAATCATCTTCATCTTCATCAATAGAAATTGCAAGTAAGATTACAACCCCCTTCTTATAAAAAAACACATTTGGAGGTTTTTTTTGGGGGGATCCTGTTTAATCAGAGGACGGCTAATTACTTTGAAGGATTGGATCCTCTTTAATCAGGGGGTTATCTTTAAGAATTATTCAGGGCATAAGAAGGGTTGGGGGCTGTGGGGTCCTAACTAATCAGGGGCTGTAAGCTAGAAAATTAATTAGGGGGGTGCTGGTTGCTGTGAGGGATTAGACCCTTTTTAATCAGGGGGTTATCTTTAAGAATTATTCAGGGTCCATAAGAAGGGTTGGGTGGTGTGGGGTCCTTACTAATCAGGGGCTGTAAGCTAAAAAATTAATTCTGGGGTCCCCACTGCTCAGTGGCTCACAGGTGAGAGCTGCGAACGCCCCTTTCTCTGACTTGGTAGTGCCAACTGTGTCGGTTAACTGAAAGGCGAGGCTCTCCGAGCCGAGCAAAAAACGAACACTGCACCTCAGGCCCTCCTGTTCACAGAGTCACGGATGATCAGGTAGGCAAAGGAGAAGAGCAACTCTCCTTGAGCTCAGGGCCTGTGCAGATTAGGTTCAAGGCGGTGGGGTGGCGGCGGCCTGAAAAGCCTCGAGCCCCGTGCGCCACGGAGCACCATGTTCATGGACTCGTCGAGGTCCTGGAACAGGAAGTTTTACCCAGAATCCGAATCCTCATTCTGGGGTCCCCACTGCTCAGTGGCTCACAGGTGAGAGCTGCGAACGCCCCTTTCTCTGACTTGGTAGTGCCAACTGTGTCGGTTAACTGAAAGGCGAGGCTCTCCGAGCCGAGCAAAAAACGAACACTGCACCTCAGGCCCTCCTGTTCACAGAGTCACGGATGATCAGGTAGGCAAAGGAGAAGAGCAACTCTCCTTGAGCTCAGGGCCTGTGCAGATTAGGTTCATTCCCACCCCCACCAGGCAAGCGGCGGTAGAGGAGTGCGAGGAAAGCCAGGTGCAAAAGCTCAAGAGGGCGGGCCGGGAGGGGAGCTGCAGGCGGTACCGGTGGCGGCGGACTCGGAACGAAGTTGGGGTCGGTCAAGTACACAGGTGGCTGGTGTGGCGCTGGCCAGCCCATCCACACTTCCAGTAGTTCCACCAGTTGCAGCTCCAGTTCTGCGAAAGCCAAGGAGGCGTGAGTCACGCCGAGCTTGACCTCTAGCCAAAGTTCACGAACTAGGCGACCAGTGACCAACATAATTGCTCGGCACAGCAGGCGAATGAGCAACGACATGGCCAATGCCACCAGTCTGGGGCAAAATGCCACTACCAGTAGCGCTGTCCAAGTCCTCCAAAACCTTGGGCCTAATCAGGTGGACCACGCAAGTGCGAGCTAGCCTGGGCCAGCCTGCCTCTTCCAGGCTGGTGCCGCGGCGAGGAGTGCCTCACGAAGAGGCCGAGGCTCAGCAGGGGGAGGTCCGTGTTGAGGTAGTGCGCGGTCAGCTCCCTCAGGACGGAGCCCATCCAACAGCGTCAGCATCCTCGCCAAGACTGCTGTGAAGCGCCTCGCGCCTGAGCCCGAGCGCCAGCGAGAGGCTGCTGTGCGGGAGGAGTTGTCTGCCAACACTTCAGCCGTTGACAAGCCGGGCTCAACTTGGCGGGGCCTTGCCCCGGACTCGACTAGGCGGCCGCCGTGTGATCCCCGTGCTCTCCATTGTCGCAAAAGAAGAAGAAGCTGTGCTGCAGTTGCGATGCGGCGGCTTAAGGGGCCCCGAGCGGCCTTCGCCTGACCAAGGCCTCGCAGTCCAGCGTGCACGCTGGGTGACCTCGATGCTCCGGCATCGGCGCTTGCGCAGTCACTCAGCTCTAAGAAGAGACTGGGCCGAACGGGACGGTGGCCGTGCCAAGAAATGCACAAAAATTGTGGAGCACTCCAACTTACTACGACCCTCTTCTGAAGCTTGTTGGGCGATGTGCACGCTCATTGCTTCGTGGATATAGTGCTTCAACGATTCGCTGGATTTCCAACGACCTTGGAACTGTAGCTGGGGAACATTCTGAAAAATGCGGTAGTGGTGTGTGGCTCCGCCTGCCCTGAAAGAGGCAGGGGAGTACCCGCAGTTTTCCAAGCTAAGGTCCGAGAGAGCAGCCTTCATATGACTACCCCACAAACGCCCGTCATCGGGAACACAAGCTGGTGGGCAGAAAGGTCGCGCACCCACCAAAACATCCACTGCACCACCCTGGCCTCCTTTACTAAGACCATCTGCGTTCGATAAGATCGCTTGGTTTTGGGCTGCCTCACTAAAACCACAAGGCCTAAGGACTCCTCTCCTAAGGCTATGGCATCTGGAAAGGCCAGATCTTTCTTGCGGAGACTGATTATTTCATTAGGACGCATTAGGCCCCAGAAGGCCAACCATGAGGCCAGCATGCAAGCCCACCAGAGGTGACGGTCCCACCCATGAGCATGCTGGCCCCTGCTGAGGCACATCAAAAGAAGAGCTTCCAGAGCCACGTGAGTGATCGGGGCCCGAGATTTCGATGGCACAAGCATGCGCCACCCGCGAATCGAGGCCCAGGTAGCTCTCAACAGAGGGCCAGCGACATTCAGTCGTCTCTGTAAACCCAAAACGCCTAGAGAAACCCAGTACAACTTCTCCCCCTCTTCGTACGCAGTCTCAATGGCCTTCGTGAGTGCATGGTCTATGTCGCGAACCGAGGATCGAGGAGTAATCCGCAGTCCTAGCCGAGCGCACAAGGAGAGAAGCCAAAGAGCTGCATCCCGCAGGTTGCGTCAAAAGGCCGGTGTGAGGCCGGCGTTCTGGAGACGCCCTGTCATCACACCACTTCACAAAAGCACTGGCAATCGAATCGCAAAAGGCCCGAGGATACACGCCAGTCTGTTTAGCACAAGCCCTTCGCGGCGGTTCCCCATGCGAAAAACAGCCCGGACAAGTTTTCACCACTGCTCCGAACCAAGGGGCTGAAGTAAGAATGCAGGTCGGCTTTTTGTAGGGCAACTCACCAATGCTCACGTCACTATAGGCACACATGTGAAGAACGTGTCGTGAAACCCCAGCCTTCTCGCGAAGCAGCTCAATCTCACGGAACTGCCACGCCTTGCTGCACAGGGGGTGCTCGAGGAAGAAAGGGATCCCATTTTCGTAGGCTAGGTTGGCTAAGTGCACTGCATGCCGCCACAAGCGATTCTCGATCGCGACGCGCGGATGGAGCTCACAGCCCTCAGGCCACCCGTTCGGTCTCAGAATCTGGTGCGGTTGGTGAGCGGGCCAGGCCTGGCCTTTGCGAACTTTAGGCTTACCGAGGGCAGTTAGGGGACTAAAGGAACTACAAGGTGGGGAAAGCCAAATCCAACTAACACCCTTAGCCCTAAGAAGGTCACCCCATTGAGCTTCAAACGCGTCTCTGCCGTACCGGACGTCCACAGGGTCCAGCATCTCACAGCCTGCGCGGCGGAAGGCTGCTGTTAACACGCCGGACCCTGCAAAAACTTCAAGTCCCGGGAGAACACAAAGGCGATGCGCTAGCCCAAACCTGCGAAGCCACTGCGGTGGCCGACATGGTGATGGCAGAGGCATGAACCTCGACGGAAAATCTGCTGGGTTAGAGTGGGTTTCGACCCACAGCATCGCAAACGATACGTTGCCTAACACGAGGTAGGGTAAAAGGGACCTAAGGCAACCATTCAACCTAAATGAGGAGGAACGGCCCTTCGAAAAAGCTCCTACGCAAACCCTAGAATCGTTAAAAAAGATGCGGATTAACCCACTATGTGCCGGATCCGAAGCAAACTTCACCAGCTCGCGCTTCAGGGCTCGGGCTTCTTGCAAATTTATGTGGGAGGTATGCCTAAAATGGTAGGAAGACACCGGCTTCCATTCCATGCACTCCGCTGCAACACTAGCAAAGACTGACGGTGCTTTGGGCTCCCCTGCATCTTCAAGAAAAGCAGAGCCTCGATCGAGCCGAAGAGCCTCGCCTCGATGTTCGGAGAGTCGCCATAACTCTTCGGCCAGTGCCGGAGGTGCTGAGGCCAAGACTGCCCCTCCTGAAGACGGCGTCGCATCGGTCGCCAACACTTGGTCGGCGATGGACCTTCGCAGGTTTGTGTAGCAGAAGGGGAGGTGAAGAGCTAGGCTACGCAACTCGTCCATCACGAAGCTCGGGAGCCAGACAATCTCGTGGTCCGGCATACTCTCGAGGAACTTATACACGTGATGCTGTAAGCTAAACAACTCCCTCCGAAACTGCAAGTGAAAGGTCACCAGGCCGAGCAATCGCTGAAGAGCTAGCTTGGTGCAGCGCCCCCAACGCGACCACTTTGCGGATCAGCACCCACACCTGGCGGCGAGCAGCGAGAGGACCCGAAACTCGCCCAAGCACTCCGTCCACTTCGGCACCCCACGCTCTGAATTGGACCTCCGCCCGGAAGGCTTTGTGAGTGGCTCGCTTTAGGCCCGCACGCTGGTATGCAGACTCTGCCTTGGCCACCCTCTGCATGTCCTCGTCATCGTCCTGGGCCGGCGGAGGAATGAAAGTTCCATCAAGCGGTACATCACCGTGGTAAGTGCAGCGCTTTGTCACCAGAAGGTCGTCCAGGTAGACTCCCTCCCAGATGTCCGTTTGCGGCGCACTCTTTCCGTACACGAGTACCGTCTCAGGCTCCAGCAGTCCGGCGTCGCGAAGTATGCTCTCATGGGTCGCCTGCGCCACGTCGCAAGCGTTGACATCCCCCATGCCGAGCACCCTGAAGCAAGCTCTGTGAGGGACTCTGGGGTCCAAGCCCTTCGCGGCCACGATCTTTGGATCTACTCGTCGACCGACAGCGTTGTACCTGATCCAGGACTCGGGCAAGCTCAAGGCGTAGTAGAAATTACGCAAGTCATCACCGGAGCCCCTGACGTATTCATTGGATCTGAGCAGCATACGGGTAAAGCAGGCTCCGCTGGGCAATGATGCCCAACGCAACCGGCGCATCGTCGCGTTCTCGGGGCGCCTGTCGAAGATCAGACGGTCCTCTGAGCTGTTCTTCTTCACAGCGAACAGGCCTCCAATGAGGAGCCTTCCGTCCTGCGCCCTCGGCAGCTCAGACTCCGGCATTAATACCACCATGTTCGTGTCAAGCAACTTCTGCATCACTGCGGCCTCTTGCTCGAGGGGAACTCGGTGACAGCTAACAGGAATCTCCTGCCAAGCTTCTTCGGGCAGGCGCAAACTCTCAAGGTTCTCAAAAACCACCGCCTTCAAGGGATCCAGCCAGTCTGCTGGATTCACCTGCCCGGCCTCTTCTGGCACCGCCATGCGCTCAGCCAGCACTGGTAGAGCCACGCCGCTGTCAGGAGGAGCCTGAGGCACGGTGCCGTCGTAGCTCGGCGTAGAGCGAGCAAGAGTCTGAAGGAGAGCGTCCAAGTCTCCCCTCTTCCCGTCTAAACTTAAGGAATCCTTAAGCAAATCCGGGGAAGAAAAAGCCATAACCTCGCCAAGCAGCCTGTCCGAGAAGAGCCTCATGTCTTCGAGACTCCGGTAGACCACCCGCGGCTCATAGCAGCTATCCCTGCACTCCGGGCAGCCTAGCACCACGAAGTTAGACCACGCCACAAACTCATTCATGAGAAGCTTGGCCCAATTCGCAGTGGAGCGTTCCAGTGGCACCCCTCTGCAGTTAAGCACCTCGGGGTAGGGAAGCAGGCCTGGAAAAAGAGGCTGTGAATTGCCAGACCGCTCTGGCAGAATACCTTGGGCACTTTGGAACCACGTATAAAAACGGATAAACTTTGAATTCCGACCAGGCAGAAGCAGGCTAGCTGTACAAGCCGCCTCACCCTCATGCAGCTTCCAGGACGAGTTCACTCGTCGTCGGCGGTTCCTCCTCCGTGGCCTGTCTCCTTCATGCGCTTTCGGAGCTTCGCCAGAGCGTCCATGTATCCGCTGACTACCGCCAACTCCTCTTTGGTCCCTCCAAACTCCTTCTTCGCCAGCGGGTCGGCCAGACCCGTCAGCAGCCACGCGGCAGACCAGTCGCCTTGCTGAAGCACTGCCTGCACTTTTGCTTTCATGTTTTGGCAAAGCTGAGCCGTTGCCGCCTCCGAGTTTCCGGCGCGGAGGTACTCGTAGACTTGGGCGTCCATGACCGCGCAGCGATAGATTCCCTTGAACTTTCCCCAAGGCTGACGCCTCAAGTAGTCCTTCAAGGTCCATGCTTGCCCGGCCACTATCCCCAGCTCCTCCGCGATCTCCCGCTCGAACTCCTGATAGATCTTCCGCGGTCGCTTCTCGATTCGCTGCTGGAGGCGATGAAGGGACGTGACAGCCTTCATCCCTTTGTCCTTCAACTCCAAACCGTCGGCGTCCGAACCTTCGGACGAGGAGCCACCAAGGAAGCCTTCGTCCCGGTCTCGCTGACGACGCCGACGCTGCCGATCCCGTTTGTCCTCCATGAGGTAGTTCATCATGAGTAGCGGCATCATGTCGGAGGCGTTTGCGCCCTGCGCAATGCCCAAGGCCATCATCTCTTGAAGATCTAGCCTCTTGGCCTCTGGCTTCTTGGCGGGATCCTTGCTGCGTTGGGCTCGGACGCCAGCCGCTCCTGGGGCCAACATGCCCGTCGAGCTCGCTGCCTGACTTCGGCGGTTCTTCGGCTCCGTGGGCTCCTCGTCTTCTTCGTCGCTCACGTCCGAGTTCCCCCCGAAAAGGCTGCCTAACTGAGCAAGGTCGGCGGCTAACTTCTTCGCCCCACGAGTGCGGCGTTCTGCTGCGGGCCTGTCCGGGACGGCGTCCTCCCAACACTCGGCCTCGCTGCTCTTCAACTCTCGGTTCAGATCTTTCCATCCCTTGAGGATGGTAGAGAAAGACGGCAAATCCTTCGCTCGTTCTCCCGTCCACTGGGTCGGAGCTGTGCCGCTAGCGGAAGTCCTAGCGATCCGGAGGTAACCAACCTGCTGTTGGCCAACCTTTGTTGTGCTGGTTTCGGCAACCCCCTTGACGGCAGTGGCCAGGCAGCCTACAATGAGCTCCTCGCCCAATTCTTCAAGCAACCATCCACACACTGGCAACGTATCGCCGGCTTGATTCCGCACTCTCACAAAGACTATGTCGCCCACGGCGGCCATGGCATACGCTAAGTCAACCCTATCCTGAAAAGCCTCGAGCCCCGTGCGCCACGGAGCACCATGTTCATGACCCAGAATCCGAATCCTCATTAGGGGGGTGCTGGTTGCTGTGAGGGATTAGACCCTTTTTAATCAGGGGGTTATCTTTAAGAATTATTCAGGGTCCATAAGAAGGGTTGGGCGGTGTGGGGTCTTTACTAATCAGGGGCTGTAAGCTACAAAATTAATTAGGGGGGTGCTGGTTGCTGTGAGGGATTAGACCCTTTTTAATCAGGGGGTTATCTTGAAGAATTTTTCACGGTCCATAAGAAGGGTTGGGGGCTATGGGCTATCCTGTCTAATTGGGGTGATATTTTATTTATTTTGGGTTCAATTGAAAGTCAATCAAATTGTTTGTCTGGAGGGAACGAGCCTGTCTAATTGGGGGGGTTGTTTTTTCAATTTTTTATCCTTATTTGGGGTTCAATTAAAACACATACAAATCTGACCCCAACACCCGGCCCGTGCCATTCTAATCAGGGGAATTTCCTAATCAAGTTCCTACATTAGCTGGCGTTGTTGGAGCCTTTCGGTTGGGGCAGCTTTAAAAGGCAACTGCTTGCGGGGCTTTAACCCTAGGCTTAACTACCGTGGGACTACGCGAGCGATCGGCTGCCCCAATGGCGTGGGCGCCCTGATCAGGGTGCGAACGCGGCCGCTCGCTGGCTCCCCTGCTGTTGTTGCCTTGGCCTCTGCCTGTGCCTTTGCCTCTGCCTCTCGCCTCCTTGCCGACGCGGCTGGCGGGGGTGCCGGTACTGCAGGTGGTGGTGGCACGGCAGGAGGATAGATCGTAGAAGCCGTGGCGCACTCGGGGCTGCCCCTGTTGTGGGCTGCCGCGGGCTCCTTGACCGAGCCGGGCTGGACGGCCTAGCTTCTAAAACCTCACCCGGCCTAAAAGCACCCACTCCTAGCCTAAACCCTTCTTCTGTCCTCTCGCCCTGGCGGTCGCTCACAACGGGAGCTGCTGCAAGATCAAGAGAGGCAGGCCTTCTGGAATAAGCTAGGGCGAGGTCAGCCCAGACAGCCTGGGGAAGATCGTAGGGATCGATCTCCTCGGTTGCAGCCCCTGCTGTTGTGCTTTCGGGCGCGGCGTCTGGGAGCACCTCTGCGTCCCTAGTACCTATTTCAGGTGCTTGGGCGGGGCTTACCAGTATCCAGATGCCTTGGCGATCTACTCTTACCGTTGGGTAGCTACCGGGAGGGAGGTGAGTCGGTGGCTTTAGGATCCTATAGGCCTTACTCGCAGCCGCCACTCAGGCACTGGGCGCTCGGGTGGCTCAGAGAAAGCACGTTCGGAAAGGTTCGGTGAAGCAGGGCTCTGTACAACTAACGCTGGAGGCGAACTATGTACAGGCTCGTCGACTTCGAACTCCTCAACCACCGGCTCCTCCTCTTCTCCTTCAGCGTGGGCGACGCCACTGACTCCAAGGTCCTCAGCGGCCCCTGCGTCAGTGTCGTCGGGCGCTTCCTCCTTAAGGTCCCCCGCGACCTCGGCAACCACAGGCTCCTCGGATCCTGGGTCGCCTTGGTCGTGGGCGTCTGTGACTGGCCCTTGGTCGTCGTCTCCCAGCTGTGGCTCCTCCTTTGGTAGCACGTCCGACGCGGTCACCGGCTCAGCGGCTTCTTCTTCAGCTGTGGCCTCGGGTGCGGCGGCCTCTCGGGATGCAGGCGCCTCTTCTGCAGTCGCTGCTTCTCCTGCTGCTGGCGCCGCTCCTTCTGCCTTCGCTGCTGCCGCCGGTGGCGCGGCCCCTTCAGCCTTGGGCGCGGCCACCGCCGGCCCAACTCAAGTTGAAGATGCCGCTCCCTCGGCTCCAGTGAGCGGGGTCGCCTCGATTCGGGCCGGGGTCCCAGCGGAGTCCCTGGATCCAGACGCAGTTGTGGCCGGGGCTGTTGGCTGAGGTCGTGCAGACGGGTTTGCCACTTTCGGAGTGGCGGGTTGTTCGGGCGCTTGTTGCTGCCCCTTTCCCTTGCCTTTTGCCTCCTTGCCTTTGCCCTTGCCCGCCCTTGCTCACCGGCACAACGGCCGCAAGGGCTGGGACCTCCTGGCAAAGACGGTTCCAATCCGCAGCGTAGGTGTCGTAGACGTCGCGGATGCCGTCCAAGTGGCGCTGGTGGCCGCCCCCTTCCAACACGCGGAAGTCCTCACGCGGCAACGCAAACCCAAAAAGGCGATTGGCTTGGTCAATCACGTAATCTTGATGGGTGTAGAACGGGGGTTTCCGGCCATAAACCGAGGCTGCCCCTTCACCGGGCGCTCTCGGACTCCCAAGCCCCTCTGCCGTAGCTGCCCCTTTTTGGGCTACTGGGCGCTGGGCTTACTTATGGCACTGCGGTAGGTCTCACTACCTACGGCTGATAACCAGTTAAACAGAACAAGACACAACCAACCCAGAGGCCTACCGCAGAATTAGCTAGTAGGCACACCTTTTTCCTTGTCATGTCTTGAGCCAAATACATTGTAACATTCGGTGTGAAACGAACACTCTCTGAGCCTACGGCGTAAGGCCTAGAAGCTATGCTTTACTACACCACTACTAGGTGCTTAGGGGTCGATATTTCTTAACTGTCTGAGCCAACAATCACAGGGATCGAGCTGGTTGGGGCCACGATCCTCGTGACAGTCCTCGTTTCGGAGGATGGGATCGACATCGCGATGTCAAACCACCACTTGCCGCCGGGATTGGGATCTGTTGGTGTCATCGTTCCCCTGACTCTCGCAAACTTTCGACATGCGGGGCAACTTCTCATCTCGAACATGGCATAAGTAGCCGGCACGAGATGGTGCTTTGCATCATTGTCTTTGCTTTTGCGGAGGCAGGTTGCAAAACACGCTTCGCACCGGAGCAGAACCCACCACCCAAACCACAGGGAGGAGGAGGGGTCGGGTGTTGATGCAACGCTCCGCGAGCTCACTAGAGCGACGGCTATACCACAGCGACAGGGGCACCATCGGCAACAGAAAACAGGGAAAACCGCTACGCCGAGTGTAGTAGCAAGCAATCCCAATAAGGATGACAATACAACTACTAGCAAACAGCGGTAAGGTTTCCCAGCTGCTCAGTAGCCAATCCAATGCAAGTACAACAGCGCAACATGCGACAAGTCAAGCAAGATTGCAGCTTCTGCTTGGTGGCATGCTGGGGCATGTAATTAGACTCAAGTTTGGAGAGAGGGCCGGTGTTCCTGCATACCTTGAAAAAATGGCGAACACCAGAGGCACCACCGCAGAGGGGTGTCGGGAGACAACGAAGCCAAGAGACCAGGAGCCCAAGCAAGACCATAGACACCACACCACAGCGGGGAGGGGTGCTCCGGCCCGGCATCGTATTATATATATATGAAAATATATATATTTATATGCTCACCCCCCCAACCCCCATGACAGAGCGTCGTGGGGAAGGGGAAAGGTGGTGTCCGTCCCCAGGCAGGATCTGTCAACGGATAGGCAACAATCATTTCTCCCAAACTCAATTCCCAAATGGTCTTTTAGATGGTTGGCAATTTTTGGAAACGTATTAGTCTATATGTACATTATGGTCGTCTATTGCTGTATATACTACATTCGTATACTACCTAATAGCTCATAGGTATATCAATATGTTGGCATAATAGCATGTGAACATGTCAGCATACTTGCATTTTACCGTATTCACATATTAGTATACCAGCATATCTAGTGATAATTAGTGTTAATGCCAATGCCAATGTCGATAATAGTTTTAATCAGTCTTAATGTTGGATTTAATATCAGTATAATATTCGCAGACGTGCTAGTATTCGTATCAATACTGGAAGTAGTTTTGATATGTTAGTGTACTGATAGATTCGCATATTAACTGCTTAATATACCAACACATTAATGTATTCCAACAGCAAACATATTTGTATACTTGTATGTTTGTATGCTTTTAGTATAAAAAAAATACATGCGTACGTTCGTGCATGAGTACATTAATATATTGGTGTTTTTATTATCTTCGAATATTAACATACTAGTATATTAGTACCGTGGTATGCCACTACATTTACTATATTCGTATATTATCCAATAATTTAAAGGTATATCCATATGTTGGTATACTATTGCCATATGTCAGTATACTTGCCAAGTTTAGTATTCGTATCTTAGTAAATTAGCATATCAGTACAGTATATTCGTACGTTAAAAAAGTAGTATATTGTTACCTTGGTATATGGGTATATGATAAATACGAATATATTACGCTAGTACACGAATGCATTGATATATTTGCATTTTCAGATAGTGGTATGGGTATGTATACTTATGTACATTAATATACGCAGGTGTCTCTTAGTATTGGCATTAATATCAATATGTATGACTCTTGGTAGTCGTAGGAGTATTAATGTTCATATTCGCATTAGTATTATGCATATTCGCATTAGCGTTAATATAAACGTCAATATTTGTATTAATGCTGTTACCATCTTAATGATTCAACAAGTTATCAAGGTCAGTATTGGTATTGGTGATCGTATTATCATCATCAGAGAATGTGTATAATCTCACAGGAGTATGAACACTTATATGAATAGTGATAATAGTATTAATATTGGCACTAGTAGTATTGAAAGTATTAGCACTAAAACTCATATGCCTATGTTGATGTGTATTCGCATGAATGTTTGTAGTAATCCTACTCTTGACTTTCGTATTAGAATGGCTCCAGTTCTCGAGCCGAAACCGGGGGGTTGTTTGCTTTGCAGGACTTTCCAAACAGTCTATGGGCAGGGGCAAAGGCCGTGACTGACACAAGGATGCACCCAAAAACAAAAAAAACAAAAAACCACTGAGAATGCAGGGTCAGTTTTTTTTATTTTTTTATTTTTGGTTTTTACATAGCGAAACCAAGAAACCAAAAAAACCGAAAATCCAAACAACCAAAAATCCCAAAAACCAAAACTGTTCCGGCATTTTCCGTGAGACTTTGTTTTTTTGGTTTTGGCTCTAGTGTCGTTCTGGACAGACGAAATCAAGGCTCAAACACGATACTCTGGAAAAGCACGAAGTCGCCGGTGGGGGCGGTGTTTTGAAGGGGATGGTCTGTCATGGGGGGGGTGACCATATACATATATATATATATATACATACACACACATGCACATATGTAAGTACGTATGTGTATATCTATGTATATACACAAAAACAGCCAGCTCGACCAGTCGGCTTTCATCGCTGTGATGGCGGTTGTAAGCCACGCGGCTTGCTCCTCGCCTCATCGAACACATCGAAAATCTAACCAGCTTGATCACTGGCTTGCCTCACGCACGTACCGCATGGAATAGGGGGCCCTGGCCTGGCAACCCTCCAGTCATTGCCACCTGAAAAGAGTCAAACACGACACAACACAACACTCGGATACATGCAGGTAGGTGCAAGGTCAATTCTGCTTGACACAGCGCTGGAAGCTGCTCAAAGGCCAGGATGCGGACTCGTAGCAAGCCTTGCCACTGAGAAGCTGGAAACCTGACCGGCACTGGCCTAACCCTGGTCTCGGGATCCATAGAATTCTTCAGGAGCCAGGCGCCAAAGTTTTAGAGAAAAGCTCGTACAGGCATGCCTCGTTGCGAAGTTGAGCCGTAGTTACATCACGTGTGAGACGCCGACCCGGCACAGGATCCTCAGGAAGTTGCGATGGCGGAGGTCTTGTCGTCCGGGTTCGGCGGGTCCATGTATTGCTGCGCCATGATGCGTCAAATGCTTCTTGATATCACACGGGGACCAGAGTCTGTCTGGAGTGCTTGCCTCTCGCAACGAGGGCTCCGAAACAATGACCTCAAGAGAACTTCAGAAACAACTACAATGACACACACACACCAATGTCAACTCGTGTCCTCCTTCAACATGTCGATGCAGGCCATGACAGCTAAAAGCAAGCTAGCCCGCCTCCATTGAATATTCCAAGGCGCGACTCTGGAGGAACATCTCCTGACAGGATCCGATCCGCCGTATTCTTTGCGTCAGAAGGGACGAGACGAGACGACTAGACGAAACTTTTGTGTCGTCTGGGCTCGGTCCTTGAATCCAAGCTCGTGGTCCCCAGACACCACCTCGGCGGGCGGACGCCCGAACGGACGAAGTGCGCTTCACGCAAACACAGACGTTCGCGGAACCAGGGCCCCCCGGCCCGTGGAGCCCCCTCCTTTCCTGCTGAGATGCTCTGGACCCAGGACTGCGGGGGGCATTGCGCAGCGAACAAGCGATGCAGTCGAACTTGCCACACTGATCCATTGCCTTGTGCATCTCGACAATACCGGCCAGTGTACCTGCAGACGTAGACGTAGCGGCGTAGCGAAGCTTGCGACATGATGCGACACACACACACACAAACACACACAAACACACACAAACAAACAAACAAACAAACAAACAAACAAACAAACAAACAAACAAACAAACAAACAAACACACACACACACATACACACACACACACACACACACACCCGCACACACACACACACACACACACACGCACACGTGTTAGGTGTTCTCTGCATTCGCGGACAGAGGCACTTGAAGTACATGCTCTAGCAGCACTTAACGCAAACCATCCCACTGCAGCTTGTGATGAGTCAGGGGGTCGAGCCATCATGCATGTCAGATTGCCTAATCTTGTTGCCTCAGGGGGCCCAGCTTGCAGGTACACAGTTCAGCGTCCTGAATTGCTTCCGACTCCATGGCATAGCTTCGTTGTATTGGGTCTGCCAAGGAGTGCCCAATACCCCTGCGAGATATTCGCGAAGAGCTGTTGCAAGCATGGTTGGGTTGTGAGCCCCTTACCTCATGTACGAGAGGAGTCCACACACACACATGTGCAGGTCTCCAAGCTGAGCTTTGATAACATTGTACCTGACTACATGCCTGGCGATCTCAAAGAAATCTCACTCACTCGCTGAACGAAAGCTGTCTGGAACACACATGCGCAGGTCACCAGTTGAGTATCATAACATTGCACCTTCTTACACACCTGAATCGTCGGAAATCGTCGACAAATGCAAACACTTGCAGGTACGTGGTTCCAGCGTCCCGGAACCATATCAGCACACTCTGAAGAGCCTCTTTGTTAGATGCCCATTCTTCAGGTGTGGGCATCCCCCTGCACTTTTGGTGTAAAGTCCTGAATTACAGGATGTACACACACACACACTGACACACACACACACGCCCCTTCCAAGGAAGGGGCAGTTGCAGTGGTACGGTTGATTTGTGGGAATGCCGTCAGCTCTCGCTTCTGGCGGCAGACTTTGTGCTGCAACGATGCGAAATCTGCAGCTGGATAAGCATCTCTCGTGTTTGTCTTTCCTTGTAAAACAACTCAACAACGGCATCACTCAGCTCAGCGATTGCGCAGTATCAAGTTGTTGCTGAATCTCAGGGACAACGTACTCAAACGGCTAGACACTGTGAAAGAATCTCTTACGCAACTTGTTCCAGAGTCTGACCACCAACCTTAAAAAGATGTAAAAAATTGCCAGCGAGCAAGATGGAAGCCTAGTGCAGGCGCTTCAGGAAGACTTGAACAAACGGAAAGTTCAGCTTCGATTGCCACCGTGAAATCAACACATGCTCCAGTGTCCAAGCTGCACGGTACCTAGTGCAAGACGCGATCTTGATCCATGTGAACTGACGAGAACATGTATTCTGATGCCAATACCGAATGGCCAGCTTGGCCCGACCTTCCTGGCCTTGTTCCAGCTCACGCAAAATAGACATGTGATTTACGCAGACAGACATGCGACTGGTTTCTGGTATCGTCACGATCAAGAACACTTCTTAATAAGCACCATGCACGAATAGAATCCTTTGATTCGTATCCTAAATGAGCCAGCGCAATAAAGCCTGATGTGGTCTTCTGCTCACCGTCTTCAGACCGATGCCGGGGACCGGCGCTTTCATCAAGTGATTAGATGCCAGCGAACAAAGAGACTATTGTTTGAGACATGCCCGATGAAGTGACGGAGAAAGTGAAACAACTACAGATGCACGCAAGAAAACAATGGACGAAAGAAATAAAAACCAGGCGAACATGAAGACTGTACTGGGTCCAGAGAATACCAGCGACCGGCGTCTCTGACAAGTCTGAAGTAGGCCTTGCGCGAATAGAGTCAGCTGTTCGTATCTTCAATAATCCAGCGCAATAAAGCTTGATGTATTCTTCTTCTGTTCACCATCTTCAGACCGGTGCCAGGGACCGGCGCTTCCTCAACCAACACGGCGATCGGCCCTTGCTCAACAACTTCTTTCAATAATCCAGCGTAATAAAGCTTGATGTATTCCTCTGCTCACCGTCTTCAGACCGATGCCGGGGACCGGCGCTTCCGTCAAGTGATCGGATGAAGCGAACAGGGAGACGTTGTAGAGACAGGACCGGTGAAGTGAAGGAAAAAGTGAAACAACTACAGATGGACGCAAGAAAGCAGGGAACGAAGAGAGGGCCAGATGAAGATGAAGACTATGCTGGGTCTGCAAAAAAGGCATCAATCAGCTGTGGAATCACTCAAAATCAGGCAGTAACATATTCTTCGACTGAAGCAGGTCGTTCCGATCAGGGAACTTCAACTGGTCTTGCAAAAGAACTGCAGTGGCTGTTGTCTCCAGAATCCCTTAAGAAGCTGCACGATACCTAGTGCAAGACGCGATCTTGATCAATGTGAACTGACGAGAACATGTATTCTGATGCCAATACCGAATGGCCAGCTTGGCCCGAACCTCCTGGCCTTGTTCCAGCTCACGCAAAACAGACATGTGATTTACGCAGACAGACATGCGACTGGCTTCTGGTAGCGTCACGGTCAGGAACACTTCTTAATAAGCACCATGCACGAATAGAATCCTTTGATTCGTATCCTAAATGAGCCAGCGCAATAAAGCCTGATGTGGTCTTCTGCTCACCGTCTTCAGACCGATGCCGGGGACCGGCGCTTTCATCAAGTGATTAGATGCCAGCGAACAAAGAGACGATTGTATCTTCAATAATGCAACGCAATAAAGCCTGATGTATTCTTCTGCTCACCGTCTTCTCTTGCTCGGCAACCTCCTTCAATAATCCAGCACAATAAAGCCTGCAGGCGCGAAAAGCAGTCACGACACAATCAGGCACACAACTAACTGCGAGATCGGCTGCGCAAACGTCGCTTTGGCTCGACTCAACTCTTCAGCATCGGCAGGCAAAGCAACTTCAAACTTGGAAAGACAATCCTCAAACCATAGGCAAACCAGGATGCTCTCAGCTGGAGACAGTGACAGACACGATGAAACAGAACATCTGAGTATATTTTTGGCAATGTCAGACTGTAGCGGATCATCAGGCTTAGGCCATTTTGTTCCGATCAGGGAACATCGGCTGGTCATTGACATGACCGTCATCCGAGCTACCCCGGAGCAGACAGCGCGCTGAACGAAAGCTCTGGAGCACACATGTGCAGGTCTCCAAGTTGAGCTTTGATAACATTGTACCTGACTGCATGCCTGGCTATCTCAAAGAAATCTCACTCACTCGCTGAACGAAAGCTGTCTGGAGCACACATGTGCAGGTCACCAGTTGAGTATCATAACATTGCATCTTCTTACACACCTGAATCGTCGGAAATCGTCGACAAATGCACACACTTGCAGGTACGTGGGTCCAGCGTCCCGGAACCATATCAGCACACTCTGAAGAGCCTCCTTGTTAGATGCCCACTCTTCAAGTGTGGGGCATCCCCCTGCACTTTAGAAGTAAAGTCCTTAGCCTTAGTTACAGGATGTACACAAACACACACACGCACACACACACACACACACACACGCACGCACACACCCACACACACACACACACACACGCGCGTCTCGGAGATGCTCGGAGCACGCGTCGACTTGGCTCGACTTTCGAGTTGCGCTTCAAACTCGATCGCGTTCGCAGGTCGACCTTAAGCGCTCGGACTGTGCTTGGTGTGCAGCGACAGCCAGTGCCGGTGCTTCGCCGACCACGCTCAGCTCGGAAACTAAGCATGACAAGGGGCCAATCTTCTCACGTGCCCGTTTCACCCCCTCGGCGGCAGAAGCGACGACGACACTCGTTCTCTCCTCGCAGGCAGAATCTCGGAGACTTTCGTCCCTCGATGGTTCTGTTGCTTGAACTTAGCAGCGCGCACTCTAGCAATGCACGTGTTGAGCACTCCCTCCATCCTGCAGTCGTTGAAACCTTTCGCTATGTTTGATCGCCTGTCAAGCCATTGCCAAACTGCTTGTAACACCTGGCATCGCAAATCGTCAAAGGCCTCAGCCTTTTCTCCAACTTTTGTGACTGCATTTTTCAGCCAGGACATCGCAACAAGATGACGCTACTTTTGCAACGGGCTGTGCTGAAGCAATACGCTTCGGATGTTGATAAAATGCGGCTGTCATGTCAGTTGCCAACGGTTTGCCAAGGAGCTGCGAGCCAAATGCTTGCAATGTTATGGCTATGACTTCGCTCACATTCGAAACAGGCACGTGCTTGCAGGAGCTTGGACAGGACCTCGCATACCAACTGCGCATAGCGCGGTGTCTCGATAACTTCGAAGGCCTCACACATCTGCATTAATGATTATGGAAGACTACTCTTGCAAGCCCCGTCAATGCGGCATGGGCATGCCTCGACAATACGAGGATGTCGCACCCTCGATAGCACTTTCATCTGGCATCACAATTGACATGCAAACGGCCACGACATGTCGCAAAGTCGGACCAAGGAAATACCGTGTTGTGGAGCCGCGGAGCCTCTCGATGGGCCTGGCGCTTGTCCCGCTGCCCTTGGTCGAAAACCTGCCCATGCAATCCGAAGGCGAAGGCGTGCGGTTCTCTGACTCTGCAGCATCTGGATCGAAGGCCTTCACAGCTACTCGCTGCTCGTTGTCACTTCGAACAGCCTCGCAGCAGGAGGCCCCAAGTATGCACCCTCAAACAAATCTGTCCTTTCAGCATGACAGGATCTGTCTAATCCTGTGGGCCACGGTTGGAACAACAGTGGATGGCTTCTGCGCACACTGCTACTGCAGTTAGTTGTTGGGTCGATGTGTGATGCTGGTGTTTCTTGGACTCTTGGACGGAGGTACGGAGTCATGCGGCAATGTTTCGACATTAAGATGGCATCTCATGCAGTAGGCTGAGACGAGACAATGTGCATGATCCGCATGTTCGACGCAGCATGTCCTGCAGATCATTGAATCGAACTTTGAAAGGTCCGTCCTGCATGTCTATCGAACGGTCGTGCGTCTGTCATGTGCCTCGTGAAACCGCACACTTGGAGACAAAGCCAGATTGGGTAGTAGGATGAAGTACGAGTACAACTTCGCGACTGACTTCGCGTCAATCTTGTCTTTGTCTGCTCGGAGTTAAGGCCTAGGAAGCCAGATCTGGCGCCTCCCACACGCTGGCAGATGCGCCGCGGCCCAAAAACTTGGCCACGGAATACCTTCGGGATTCGCATGTCGCAAACAGTCTCGCAAATCTCGCTTGAGCGTCGCACGATCCGGAGAAGATTTTGCTGCTCAGACTCCTGAACGGCGTTGGTTGCTGATCCATGATGGACCTTTGTGGCGACCGGCTTCGGGGAAGCCATGAATTGCTCGCGATTCCGGACTCAGATACGCAAGGGAGTTGCTGCCTTGAAGCTTTCTTAAGCCCGCGACATGCTGCCCGTGCTCGCACGGCGTGATGCCACGGCTGCGACCGTGGCAGTTAGGATCTGCCCCGTGCTGCGACGTGCTGCAGTGGCTTGTGCGCCATGGAGCCTCTCCCAGGAGCTAGAAAGCCATGTCAAATGCTTACTGTTAGCTTCCGCTCGCGAGTGGCCTGGGACTTGGGATGCCGCCTACTGGACCTCAGCCGACCCGGCGCAGCTCAGCTCCGACGTGTTCTGAGGTGCCATGACATGCCGCGTTGCTTGGCCCCTCACCGGATGGCCTTGCCTTCTCTGCCTAGGTAGCGGTGCTATGGACACTTAAGCACTGGTCCGGCGGCACACTGGCATCTTGCCTCCATGATCGACGGATCTGCTTCCTGACACTACGCAGTTCACTCGGCCCAGCGCTTAAGCGTAACCCTTGTTCCGGCTCGCCTCCCTTCGCTCGGGCACAAAGCCACCAAAGACTCCCTCCTGACGCCGGCGAGGGTCGGCGCTGCGCGCCCTTGCAGGAGCTGGAGGTCTCGTGGGGCGTCGTGCGCTTTGCGCACGAGCCAGCCGTGGCCGCAGTGGGGAGGTGTCAACACGTGGAGCGACCGCGACCTCCCCCGGCGCGATGCGCGGCTGGCGAGTTTCGCGTCGCATCTCCGACTCAGTGCCCTGGCCCTCTCGAGCGCGCTCTTTGACATCCTGCCGGTCATCGGTCCACGCATTCCGCACAGACGGCGTCGGTTGTCCTGGTGCTGTTCGACATCCAGTGCTGTGACGCCGAAGTCGAAACTTCTCCGCGGACGCATGTGCTTGCACGGCTGGAGCCGGATGATGGCTTGTTGCAGCTGCGACAGCTGCAGCAAGCCGGGCGGCTGCTGCCAACCCGCGCTCCTCTGCAGATTCTCGGTATCTCTGCTGGGGGCTAGGCTTGCCAATGTTGCCTCTGTCCTGCATGGACCTTCTCACATCTTCCTGTCGGCGCATTAACGGTGAGACTTCGTGGTCCCTCCATGAAACTATGCTCCCTGCTACCGCCTGTGCTTTTGAGCTGTGTGCATTGGGGAAGCACTTCCTGCAAGAAACATATACGCACACACCCACACACACACGCTCTCAGTCGAATTGGACTGCGACTGCAATACCGTAGCTGTGTAGTTGCTTTTTCTCATCGACGCACGTCTTCTGGGTTCTGTGCGGTCCGCCGCCAAGACCTCCGACGAAGAGGTGCCAGGGACTAGGAAGGAGGCTTACAAACGGAGGGTTACAAACTGAAAGAGTGCAGGATACTGAAAGGTATCCTGCGAAGGTTGATTCGTCAAGCAAACATACACAATTACACACATATGCACGTACATACACGTATTCATATGCACATGCCTATATATATATATACATATGTGTATAGAGGGAGAGACTATAGAGAGAGAAAGAGAGAGAGAGAGAGAGAGAGAGAGAGAGAGCGCGAGAGTAACGATTCGTGACTTCTTCTGCGCAAATTACCGATGCACCGGGCATCGATACCTAACAATGATGCCGCTGCCTCTGCAAGGCGAGGAAGGCATTCCACAATTTGCATCCACCTGACAGTGATCTGTCGAATATTCGTTGACTCGTCAATGCACCGCGCAGCATGTCAGCTGACACGCAAGACTGCCACTTTTACATGCAAACGCACTACGACACAGGACTGAAAGGGGATGACTGTTCCGAGGTTCCACCAAGACACCACACCGCGGTGGGCAGACTTCTTCTGTATGAAGTTTCGGATCTTCGCATGATTGGAGTTTCTATTTCTGAAGGAAGCATCATGTCGGCTGCCTGCGCAGCCAACCTTCTGCCTGCTTTGGATCTTCAGCATCCAGTGCAGCGCTCACTCGGCCAGCACAACCAAGATGGCTTTGCCTTGCGAAGCGAATTTGTGGCGTGACGTGGTGCCTTTTGGTGATCTGATTTCTCGTCGCCTGAAGCTTCGTAGTGGGCTGTTTCCGGCTGCATTGCGCTGCCTGTCTGAAACGGCACGACCACCAAGGCCACGTCGCAGAAGCACCGCTGCGGCGGAGCAAGGATTATCGTCCCTGCCCCTGCAGTTGACAAGAAGATCTTGGATAAACAAGCCGCAACAACCCACCATGACCGTTCGTGCTGACAGGTGTCTTGGCTGACAACTGCCCTCCCGCCAACAGGAAATCTGCAGCGGCTTCGAGGCACTTCTGCCGCTTCCTACGCATACGACACAGTATGTGAGCGCCATACATGGGGAATGCCATGAATCTGCTGGCTAATGTGTCGTGATGGCCGTCATGGTTTCTCCTCATGCTATGCTGTCGATTTTGACTGAACTACGAAGCAAAGCATAACCTGATGAATACCGAAACCCGGCTGATTCACATGCACAATATGCAAGCAGTCAAAGCCTGTGTCATGGGCGAACGGTTGTATATAAACGGTTTCTGGAGCAAGGGTGTACTGCGCAACGGGAGCCAAATTCAATATTGCATCGTCGGCGAGTTACATGTCGTGCACGTTTTGACAGTGAAAGAAAAAGCTTATGAAACGCCCATCTCCAGATGAATTCGATGCTCTGTCCGTCGACGTCCATGGGGCCCGGCCCTGACTCAATCTTGCGAGGGGTTGGTGCTTTGTTTGACTTCATCATCGACACCATCCAAAATGTCGAAATGCCCAGCTGCACCGCTGCAACTGAGACGGCACGTCGTCCAAGCAGAAAACGCTTTGCATGCACCAGGGACAATACCTTCTGAAAGAGTTCCAGCAGGTGCCAAGCTAAATGAGAAAGCATCAAGGTTACGATGGACTGCAGGTGGTCGCCAAGCTTCGTATTGAGGATGGCTTGAGTCGATGCTCTAAAGTGATTGATCTTGGTTGCTCGGGTAAGTGTAGATTGTACTGTTGTCTTTTGCACGTTTTCTTTCGCCAGTGTGGAGGATGGGGGAGTAACCCCCAGCAGCGCGCTGACCTCTCTGTCTTTCTCGTTGCTTTGCTTTGCAAGACCTGCAAGCAGTCCTTGCAGCTCGCTTCAGCGCAACCCCATCCAACATTTTGTATGCATGGGCTCTGCTGTATTCGGAACTTCACAAAGGAGCGGATGCGGGCTGCAGCACCAAAACCGTCAGGACATGTGCCCCTCTCAATGAGCGCACGCGTTGCCCACACGTTGGCTCGAGAACACACGTAATTATGGGCTTGTAACCTTACTGTGGGTTTCAGAAAACAAAGCGACAGGAGGAAAAAACATGCCTTAGTTATCGGCCATGCAGTCCTTATGTCTGCAATTGTCGCACCACTTTGAGCGCGCCGGCAAGGATGGGCTCATGGTCAGACGAAGCTCGGTCCCTGGCTTGACCAACACGGGCTTGCTCAACCCTGATTCCTCTCGCAGCTACATAGTCAATGCGCCAAGCTGATAAGCTGGGGTTGTAGGGAAAATGCGAAGGCTCATGCATTTGCTGTTGCGGCAGGTAGACATCTTGCTCGGAAAGCCACTGGAGGATTTGTTCTCCCCGACCTGTGCACGAGAGCGTGGTATTGCCGAGGACACCTCCAGGCTGCAAAAAGGTCTCGTTGGCGTCGAATCCTACGAGAAGCCGAGAGCACCTGAAAACCGAGGTTCGTTCCCATCCCTGCAGTGCTGAGGCAGTCTGCTCAATAGTGAACCTTTGGGAGACGTGCCCGGAAATAAGGCCTAAGGTTCTACGGTCGTGCTGTCGCAGAATGGTGCAGGTGGCTGCTAGGCAGAGACACGATGACGCATGGGTGCCCAGCACATTGCGGTATGCAACACCACAACCTTTCCACTCGGCAAGCTGTTTGCCATGCACCAGGGTCCAGACAACGTTGGCATCAAAATGGGGTCCACCCCCAGTGGTAACAATCTCTTGGAGAAAGATCACCTGGAGTGATGACAAAGCAGGGGTTCCTTGGAAGCCGACCAGCAAATCTAGGACTTTGTCCGGCTTCATGCCGCACAGGTTCCAGGAAGCGAAATGTACTCGGGCTGCATCGTCTTGATGCGGTGACTTGCAAGGTTGCGCCGCTCCGTGTTGATGCGGCAGCTCAATAACAAAAGGAAGGTGATGCTCAGCGGGGGCGTCCCCGTCTTCCACATAGCTGTTGTCCAACCAGCGCAGCCCCGCTGAGAGCGGCTCCCACGTTCTGTCGACAATGGCCTGATCAACGCCTAGCTGTGTTGCAATTGCTGGTGTATATCTACCCAGCCACATCCTGCAGTGGAAGCTGTCGCGGGCCCCGAACCAACCCCACATGAAACCTTAACATTCTTGAACCAGACTGTTCCAGTTGCCCATTCGGGCTCGATGCGATTCAAGAAGGGGAGGCCCCCTGCTTCAATGATGAGGCGTTTGACTTTACCTGCAAGGGCAGCCCGGCGCCTGCGCTCCGGAGGCTGACTGACAGAAAGCCAGAGCTTTGCAGGGTTGCCATCAGGCTCGACGCCTAAGCTGACATTGGCAACATTGACGCGGCGAATGCATGCCTGAATGCGTTGGCGCATGTTGTCCTCCGACTCGCCTTCGTTGGCATGGATCGGGATGAGGACGAAACCACGTCGGACCCCTGGGACAAAAGCATCTGCAAGGCTGAGCTGTAGCTGAAGGTCTCGTGCCATTTCATTGGCCTTTTGCAGCACCTCACTGGCAAGGGTGTCAGGAGGCCAGCCACCCATGACTAGTGCATGGATTCGTCCTGCATCGGCTGTTGACGGGGTGCTCCCCGAGGACTGGATGTTCTTCACGGTACTCTCGAGAGCAGAGAGGCGGCTTGCGATGGCTTTGGTATCCGTAGAGAGCTCTTCAATTCGCAGCCCTTGTTGCGCCTGTCCCGTGGATAAAGTCTCACAACTGTTTGCAGGGTCCGTTCACAATGTTGGTGGAGGCCTTTCTCAAGGGCGACCACTCGCTCCGAAACTCCGCCCACTGCGCCTTGGATTTCACCACGTACAACTTCTCTGATTGCGTCAAGGCTGAGCGCCTCAGGTTCAGGGACCCCCCGCTTGCGGCCAGGGGAGTCCTGTTCCATGGCGGCGCCGTTTCCTTTCCCGGCCATGCCTTGGCTTCGGAAGAGGAGGGGAGTTGCAGCCCACCGCAGCGACGGATCTCACTCAGCTAGCTGTTGTCAAACACCCGAAGGTAGAGCACAGCAGCGGTTCACGTGCAGGAACGTTGCACACCGAACTCCCCCGCAAAAGCGATGGTCTGGTGCAGGGCAAAGATCCCCTTCAAGTTCAACAGCAATCGCGGCAAAAGAAGGAGAGGAAGAGTGTACGAGGACAGTCCCCCGGTTTTGGATCTGGTGGGCTCCGGGGGGCAAGGGAGAAAGAGGAGAAGCAAGGGCGGAGCGGCCCACCTGTCCTCGAACCACTCGCGGCTTGAGCCAAAATGGCTATCTCTCTCTCTCTCTGTCTCTGTCTCTGTCTCTCCCTCCCTCTCTCTCTCTCTCTCTCTCTCTCTTTCTTTCGCCAGGGCTATGGGCAAGAGGTTTGACCCCCTTGCCCGCGCGCTTCTGCGCCCCCGACTGTTGCGGAGGTGAGTATAGGCATTACGCGACCACCGGCTCGCGAAGTGTAAAAAGGAACTCTCATCGCTCAGCAACCGCAATTTGAACAGCCAAAAGATCAGGGAAGACACACTACATGTGAACTATGTGCGAACCCGCATGTGTGTTGCTGACTCGGGGTTATTCCCCGTGCGAGAGGTTCACATTAGAAGTGCCGGGTCATCCATATGGGTCGGGTCGCAAGGCATGAGGACCACTAGATGTGTAGGACAGGGTACTGCTCGGGGAAGGACAACGGGAGGCAGGCGTGCGACCCAGGGGACGTCTCCCCGCAAGTGCCAAGATTAGATTTGGCGAAACTGTCATATGCTTCAACGGTTATTACTGCACCGTCTAGCTTTCAGTGGTGAAATTGTGCATTGTCACTTGGGGCGTCCCCCGAACAAAGAGTGCAGCCAAAGGCTCCAGCACCACTCTGGGAAATCACGCAGAATAGGCCAAATACGCTAGGAGCGGCCAGTGCTACCCCAGGAACCGCGCTGAAAACTCCATGTTTGAGGAGGGATGCTGTATGCCATGGTGAGACGCTCTCTCTCTCTCTCTCTCTCTCTCTCTCTTTCTTTCGCAAGGCTTGAGGGCAAGCCCCCACCCAGAGGGCTGCCCCTGTTTCTCTCTCTCTCTCTCTGTCTGTGTCCCTCTCTCTCTCTCTCTCTCTCTCTCTGTTTGTAGATTGCCAGTGACTCCACCAGCAAGGGTTGGTTCTGCGCGGCACGGTTTCTCACTGTTCACCTGCCTCTGGTTGCAACCCTGGTTTGGCAAACATCTGGAACGGCCATGTTGCTGTATGCTCTTTGCTGGGCCATGCTAGCAAGCTAATCATGGGCTCCGTGCACAAGTTTGGGTGGAATCCACACGTGCGGCAAACGTACCTACATCATGCAACGGGGACAGGCACGGCAGTGGTACTCGCCAGGAGCTAAGCTATGCTTCCTGTTTTTCCATGTGAAGGTGTCAGTTTGCTCTAGTGACTCTTATTGATGTTCATCTGCCTCCATAGCTCTTTGTTTCATTGAAGAAATCCGTGGGGATATCAAGGTCTCGTTAGGCTTTGGACCCGCTCCTCGGAACTGCTTCAGAAAGGGCCATCAATCGCAGCATTGGCCAGATAGGAACCGACTTCAACGTGTCGCTTTGCAAGGCTGGCGTGGCCGTCTCAGTGTCCTGAGTCTTGCAGGTTGGAACGGCCGCCGTGGAGTCGGGCCATGCTGGCATGTGGCTCGACCAAGCCTCTGCAGCCGACGCCAGTCGCCGAGCTCCACGAAAGGCCGCGCCAACAAGAGAGCTCCTGGCAGCAACCGTCACCAAACCGCAGCCCCAGCCCCCAGGGATCTCCACATTCTGGGCGTGCCTTTGCCTCCGGGACGCTTCTGGAGGAGGTTGCCGGCTAAGCCCAGGAAGGGTGCCGTGCTGCACGCTGACAAGGCCTGCAGCGACATGCCAGCGACACTGCAAACATGTGGTCAACGTGGCCTCGAGGATCGCCGAAGGGCCGGGATCTGTGCACGATGCCATGCGGCCTCGGAAAGCGACAACGGCCAGCATCCTCTTGCTATAGGATGAACGGATACCCAGAAGGTATGGAACAGAATGACCGCTACCGGAACCAGCTTCAACGACTTGCACCTGTCTATCTCGAGTCGTGCATGCCCGGTGTCGACACAAGCGGAAGCAACCGATGCTGAAGCGGAGCTAGCTGAAACGTTTCACGGAGCAACGCTTCGTACAGATAGGCCAACTCGAACTCTCGTCAGGCCAGGACGAACTAACTATCGAGTAAAGACGCTTGCGAGCAGCTCAAACGGTGCACATGTCTCCCATCGAGGAAACACCCATTGAAGTGATTCTGTCGACAGAAGCTACATGGCTTCGTAGCCGTCCGCTACCCGAGCCCGAACCTGCTACTCTTTCTTTCTTCCGCAAGGGCCAGGGACAGGGGAGCAACCCTCCCTCTCTCTAAAATGCTGGTGTTGCCATCTTGCTTTTTTTGCTCTTCGGACGTGTGCGTGAGGTGCGGCATGATGGCACCTACCGTTTGAAGACTCGCGGAGTGAGAAAAAAATGCAATTTGGCGACCGTCGGTTGTTGCAGGCTAGTGATGGCTAGTATACTCATATTATGAAGCTGCCGACAGCAGCGCAAGATCCAATTCCTCTTGCCGGGTTGTTGCTTTTAAGACATGGGCTGTCCACAACAGGAGTCCGTCATGTCCGCTTTACGTGGCACTGGTCGGCTGTCAGCCGAGACGAAAGAGGGTAAGTCAGAAACGAGCGCACCAAAGCCACAACACAAGGTCCACAAGCACACGTACGGCCACAAGAGCTTGCCTTGGCAACATGCCGCCAAAACCCTGGACGCAGCCAAGGAAGACGAGATGCGAGTGCAACAGACTACTTGGCTGAACAAGTTGCCAAACACTGCTATTGAACCTCTGTGCGAGCATTGTAAACCATCCGCACGAGCTGCCTGGCACGTGGTTTTGGGGCTTGAGTGGCGAGTCGAACGGCGAGTTTTCTGATTACTTATGCATTGCTGGGATTGCACACATGTTCAAGACTTGACCGATCGACAAAGCTTTCCGCCAACACATTACCATCAGGACCGTGTTGCAATTTCGGGCTCAAGAATTTGCCCCGAACATTGCCAAGTTTGTCGACCATGCTGGCTAGGACGAACCTGTCACCAAATTCCACTGCTTTGGCTGAACGATCGTAATCACCGAGCAGCGGGCCTCAGAAACAGTATCAAGAGTTCTGTGTTTCCTCCACGCGGCTTAAGCAAAACCTCGAGTGAAGTTGCAAATCCAGCTGAAACTAAAATCGCATGTGAAGGCTTGAGCATGCCTAGGTTCTGCCAAAGCCGTTCAGCGACGATGCACTTGCTGCTCAGGCTTTTGCGCACTGCGCTGTTCACTCACGCTGAGCGAAAGTCACTCGTGCAGTTCTTCAGGTTGTGCACAGATGGTTGCTTGTTGCCGTTTGGGTGCAGGCTCCGATGCCTGGGCCAAAGCTGATCGCGAGACGAAGTCTACCCTTCGCCGCCTGAAGTCGCGGGCAGTTGCACATTTGCGTACTGCTCGCTGTCTTTGGCATCCCGGCACTTAGCATGCGCTCGGCCATCGCATGGAAGCCGCATCGAGCCGGGTAAATCAACTTCCCGAAAGCTGCAGCGATGCCGCCAAGGATCGGGAAACACTGTGAAACGTATGTGTGCGCTTCAGTAGCAATGAAATGCGAAGCGCAGTAGCTGTCTGGGCATGCTTTTCGATACTGTGTTTGCTCGTCGGACGGATCGGCACGCTTGCTCTTGATGCCGCTGTTGTGGCTTCACCCAACAAGTGGTTAGTTGCTCTTGACTGACTCGGCACTTGCTGACACAGGCTCTTTGACTGGTAAACGGACCAAGTCTAGCCGCTCGCAAAACGATGAACGGCGTGGCAGGCCCGAGTGCTGAGCAAGAACAGAAGTACACACAGAACATGGCCATTGCAGAGGTGATGCGACTATGGACGAGTGATCCCATCTAGTTACTAGTTCCGAAAACTTAAGTGCAACACCAAGCAGCTGAGCAAACGTCCAACGCGCTCTGCATCCCCTTGCCTCGCACTGTGCCGCAGGAGCCTTCGGTATACGGCACAATCCACCTGCACCAAGGGATCTTGAAATTTGGCAGCTGGAGTGGTCAAACCTTCTATGCCAGTATCTAATGAAGTAGATGTCCTGTAGCATCGAAGCACTGCGAGCACAGTGCGCTGCCTACGTTGGCATGTCAGGGGGTGTGGGGCACCTCCACCATGGCTGATCGGCTGCGCTCAATCAGCTGCTCCTGAGATCACCGCAGCCCAATCTTCTTGCACTGCGCTGATGCCTTTATCAAGCGAGCGCGCTTCTGCGTGAACATCGACGAATGTGGAAAACAGTTCGCACGAACACAGAACATCGAATACACATTCGACAAACACGGAAACCAAAGGGAAACTCTCAGGTCTCGACCAAGAATAGCTCAGGAAGTCAAAGAGAAAGCTGGGACAACAAGGGGGGGGGTTGGTGGACGTCTAGTCGTGGCAGAAAAAGAATGGCGAGATCTGCGTAGTCTTGTTTCGGCATTTCAATATTCCTGGATGTGTTTGGAACTCACACTGACTTCCATTCCTCTCATTCTTTTAGACTTCTGGACTTCTCAGATTTCTTTAGACTTGTGAGATGTCGCGAAATTTGTGAACTTTGTAGGGCCTTCTCCTTGAAGCATCTCTCCGGCTCTCTACACTTGTTTCGAGGGTTCTTACAGACTTCGGTCTCCTGGTGGTGGTAGTAGTAGTAGTAGTAGTAGTAGTAGAGCAGTAGTAGCAATAGCAGCGGCAGCAGTAGCAGAAGCAGTGCGCAGAAACGGGCTTCTTAATAGGTCTTCTACTCGCAACTGTTACGTACAACGTTCGCCGACTATTACTTTTGACTTCAAATATGTTCCGCTTCTTGGAACCATCATCAGCAACAGGCATAGGCGAGGCGAGGTGGATGATACGAAGAAGAGGAATCCTGCCCCCCAAAACAAGACAAACCCACAGAACATGACCCAGCATTCAGCCGATGTGGCTGGCAGAGTGTCATCCGAGGGCGTACAAGGAGACATGCCCCCAGCGAGAAACTTCCTTCAACAAGACGCGCCAGTGAAACAAAAAACAAACCAACGCCGTGAGCAATGACAGTCGGAAGCTCCTGCAAGAGCCTTAGGGATCACAGTCGTTCTGCTGCCAGCTTGCAGTGGCGGAAGCTGCGTAAGAATCCAAGGTAGCCAAGAACAAGTGGCTGAAATATCATGTGAACGTCGTCATGAGGGGATACATTTCACATCTCAGAATACTTGTCAGCAGAACAAGAGAGGACCGATCCGCAGCTACCTTGGAAGCAAAATCGGAGACAAAAAGCGCGTCAGCGAGGATTTGAGGAGATAAGCTGGGCGGACCACGTAACGGCCTGTGGGCATACATAGCGCAAAATCAGGTATGCTGCCAACATGAAACGGGCTGCCAGTCGATGGTGGGAAAGCAGAGGCTTGCTGCGGCGTTCGGGCCTTCTTTGCCAGCTGTGCTAGCTCTACTAGACTGTTTGGACTTCTCTAATCTTCTCTAGATTTGATAATCGGGTTGTCGACATTTCACAAGTTTTTCACCACATGTCGATAGTTTTTCTCGCAAAGTGTGCAACTACAGATCTCCCTTTGGTTTCTGTAGACATTTCGACGGAAAGCGTTTTTTGCTGCTCCGACGTTTTCCAGATCTTGTGAGTTCTACAGGAAGGCTTTACTTCCGTGTGTTCCATTGTGTCCGCACGATACAATTTCCATTGTTGCTGCCAAGGGTCGGAAACATCCGCGAGATGATGCCTCGCCATGAGTCTGACTTGAAATGGGCTTCCAGGCTTGGACGTTGCCTCGATCGTCGGGAGTCCGTGGATGTGCAAGCATTGGCGGCTGCTGCGTAGCTGGCAGCATCTGGCTTGATGCCGTGCCTGAGGCCAAAGGTGCTTGAGGGTTTGAGGACCCAAAGAACTAATGCAAGCCAAAGCCACAAAATTCCAGACTCCAAATCCTGATTGTGAGCAGGATGAATGTGTCAGATTCAAGATGCAAGTGTGCACGCAATCACAAGAGGAGGCGAGCCTTGATGAGCTTCAAAGCAGAGCGGAAATCTCCCTCCATTGCATATGCTCCGAGCACGGCGTTGTACGCAAAGACATCCACATTCAACTTAACCTTGGCAACTCAAGGCGATCCCATACTGGCACGTGCATGTGACGACAGGAGACGATCCCGCCTTTGTTGGATCGTGTCAAACGCGTTTCAATTCGCATCTTCTTCAATTCTAGTGCTACGGAATCTTATGGCAGTGCAACATGGCCGGCAGGCCGCTCTACGTGCTCGAATCAGGGTGCCAGTGGAGTTAAGCACGTGTAAAGTACATTGAGCGCGAGGAGCGTGAAACCGCTTACGGCCACAACTGTCTGCGCATGAAGCGATTGCAAGTAACGGTTGGCTCAGTGCCGTATTCAAGCGAAACTTTCGATCCAGCTGAGTAACAGCTTGCATCCGCATCAGCCAAGCAAGCGCACGTTGAGAGTCGCCCAGCTTTCCAGAAGCACGTATCATCATTGTGTACCTTGCTTGCACGGGATCTGCGTGCTGTTCTGATACGCTACATCCGAGCAGAGGAACAAAGGCACAGCTTCCTGCTGCCATGAGGCTCCGTTGCAGTTGCTTCCAGGCAGCAGCGGAGCATTTCACGGAACAATCTCTCTGCATCCCTCACGGGCAATTCCAGTCGAGATCTTCGAGCGGGTTTGCACTGCCGGCCTGGACAAGCCCTTCTTGGCAAAAGCTTTCATGGAGTACCTTGGAGCCAAAGCTCCTACTCAAGCCCCTGACAGCTGAAAGGGCACATTGTGACACACTGGCTTAAACCCAGTTGCCAGAAATGCTCTGCAGTTGTTGGATGACCTGCTGCTCGGATACGATGCAGCCAATGCTCCGCCAAGCTGCTCTCCCCACCCTGATCAGAGTGCTTGGCGATGGCTAGCGGCTTAACAACTTGCGACGAACACCAAAGCTCGAAGACTTGTGCTGAACTTGGTTCAAGAGTCGCGCTCACAGGCGAGGAAAACCAGATTGATCTGGTCCAATAGTTCGGCAGTGCTCTGCTCCTGTGGCAACTGGGGAACTGGAGCGCTAGACTCTTATTGCAAGCCTTCGCCGATTGTAAAGCAGCAATCGCGCCCCGAGGTCCGCAACCAAACATCCCGTCCAGTCCGGAGTGTTGCTAGAATGCTGCCCCCCAAATCCATGGTTTGGCTTTTTGACTTGCAAAGCTCATTTTCGACACAGTCTCAGCAAAACATGTGCGTCACAACGAAGCTCAACCCCTCTTCATTCGTACAACATCTGGAATCTGGACTGTTCATGATCTAAGCAAAATCCTTCGGTGCTTCGAAGAGGATACAAGTGCTTACGCACTGCTAGTGGCACTTTTGGTTGCGCAGTTTCAGATTCCAAAGCTCCGACATGCTCCGGCTCTTAAGCTGCGCGGCCAGGACAGTTTCGCTCCCAACCCCATCGAAAACCAACACTCACGTGGCCGGGCAACAGTCTCCGACTTGGTCAAGTCCATACATCAGCAGCAACGAAAATCGGCTCGGCTCATCAATACAAGTATTGAATCGGATCTTGTTTCCAAGTTCGAATCATATTCTACTAGGTATCTTCACTGGCTGATCCAGTTTGGCTTGGGCCCCCCCTCGGGGCCAGCATAATGGCCTCGTCGGCCGCACATGTGCTTGTCAAACTGTCTTCGAGACCAACGAAAGCTAATGGTTGACAAGATTCTGGGACAACAACCCAGGTCCTTCCGAAGGGCCCGCAGTGGGCCCATGAGGCGGCGGAGATAGCGTAGCGCCGCACGCGGTCGGCCCTGCCGCGCTGCGGCCTCGCCAGGGAAGCTGGTAAATCGCCAAACCGTGTTTCTTGTTGTTCTCTCTTTGCTTTGCAGCCGCGAGCAGGCCACTGCGCAGATCGACGTAACCAAGGCCATGGGAAGTCAGCGAGGCGCCGTCCTGCATTGCGATTTCATAACTGCGCCTCGTCTCATCGTTGCTTATAGATGGTGGCCCTAAGCCTATAAACCCACCAGTACCCAGAGTGGGATCTCCACAAGAATGTATAAACCGGGACACATGTTTGTCATGTGTATTTACAGCGCGCAATCAGTGCCGGAGCAACTACTTTAGCCAGCAACAAATCATGCCGAGACAAGCCGAGTCGTTTTCACAGATCCTGAGTCGCACAGTCACGGGACCGATTCCAGGCTGAGAGATCAAAGTTCGACGGCGAGAATTCCATGTGTGAGCAAGTTGAGATCCGGTAAACAAGAGACTGGTGGATCGTATCATTTGTGTCTGCCGCATTGGTAGAAAACGAAAGCCAGCCTGGAAGCGCAGCGCCAGGTCATCCCAACACGCTAGAGTCACAGATGTCACAAGAAGGCAAGTAGGCATGAGCTCCGACATTCATTCATGGCACATCTTCGTTCTTCCTGGCATATGCGGCCCCTTATTTTTGTCAAGGAGGACGCCACACGACAACATGGAAATGTCGAACAACAGCCACAGGGGAAGGTGCGTTACTGAAGCAACCCCGAAACCTTTCTGAATGCGAGCACCCGAAGATTTGAGCCCACGGGCATGCGCAGTGCAATGCACTGCACGAGGAATTCGAGGATATTCCTGGCTTTGGTCAACATGGCAAGCGGCCTGTCGCCACGGTACATGCATATGATGCATATGTCTGGGCAGAGACGGCAGAGACACGTGAAGGCGTCGTGCATATTTGTGCGAATCAAAAAGAATGGAGCCAGCACGCACGCTCGATGGTTTCTGTGACTTTGTCAAGTACAGAAGCCGACACACCAAATGAAGAGGATGAAGGCAAACCAAGGGCCGAAAGCCTGACCAGGACATTCGAGCGGACATTCGTTGGTTTCACATTGGCACGAAAAGCTTAGACATATCTGTGCTCATCCAAAGCGCCACATCCTTGCCTGCAGCATGTGTGGCACAGAGGGAAACACAAAGACCTCTGTGCAGCGAATACCGCAACCCAACCCGAGTCAGGTGGCAAGCAGAGTCCAAGCCCAACCCCAAAGGTCAGTAATCGCTCTTTTGGAACAGACGGCAGGCACCTCACCTCAATCGTGACAGCAGAATAGTGGCGCTATGATTAGCAGCGCTACTTTTGAACTCGACCCCAAGGCGCCTCCAAGTGCAAAGACCATTGAGCTACATGACGTCACTGTGCTAACTCTGTAAACTGTGTTTAAGCCATCTGAAACAAGCACGTTTCCCGCCTGTCTTGTCTCCGCGTGAACAAAGAATGAGCGAAACATATTCATGCGAAGCTTTCGAATTGTGCCGAATAGGCTGTGCTTTTGGGATGCGATCCGTAACAATGACCAAGCTGGTCTGGATAACCTCGTTCACAAGTCATAACTAAACTTCGCAATACAACCCAGCATTTGCAGGTGGGTTGGTATCCACCTCAGGACATCACCGTGTGGGTGGAACACATTGTGTTGCCAGGGATGTCGTCTTCCCAAAGCACATGTCGCAATCCGGCCATCTCGATGCAAAACCTCTTGTTCTCTACTTGTTTTGGTATCTGCGGAGGAAGGTGGTCTGCCAATAAACGGCAGTCACCGTACTGTACGTGCAGCACACTGCGCCGTGCGATCTTTGTGACGAGAACTCTTCCGAGGATCTCAAGTAGTGCCGCACGGATCGTGTCGCCGTACCTCCTTCGCGTGTTGCAGGGGGCAAGTCTCGCACTCTGGTGTGGCTCTGCTGTAGGCTATCAAATGCATGTCGTGCTGAATATTATCGGGGTCCATTGCAACATATTGCAACCATATGTGAATGCCGCTGGGTTGCGGAAGTGGTACTTTGCCCATTCGATTCTGCTGCTCCATGTTATGCTTTTGCCAGGTCGCAGCTGCGACTGATGTGGGGAACCGGATCCAGCGACATCGGATCCTGGCGTGAAGTGTCGTTGTTGCCCCTGCCCTGTTCCTTCTGTGAGGCGCAAGTATGCGAGATGTCTTCTTGAGACACTGTTGAGTGCATCATCGCTTTGTCTGCAACATCTCTTGCATGAGGCTCCTCGACAGCACGGAGGTCATGGAAGTGCATCCTGTCCGGGTGGTTCTCGTCGAGGCTTGTGAAGGTGAGCTCCCAGGTATACTCGAACGTGAACCGTGCGACCCAGTTCTCGATGCCCTCCTCTTTGCCCTCTTGTTGGCCGAGATCGACTTGGTGAGGAAGCGGTTCAGCCTGGCAACGGAGTGTGGTGCGGGCTTGTGGCTAGAAGATCTGCTCGGGGACATTATTGCATAGCACCAGCAACAAAACTGTGCGATTCAACGCAAAGCTTGCGCCCTGAATTAGTGGCAAGCTATCCAGCGAAGAGGTAGATCTGTTGGCCTCCCTCACGTTTCCGGTCTATATAGATGGATTGCGTCTTACAGCGTGTTTAAGGACACGGCGTCAGGGAAGTAGTTGACGCTAGGAGTTCACCTATCGTATAATTATTCTTAGGGAAGATAACCCGGCGAGAGAGTGTTTTTCCAACGGCCAGCGGTATCGCGTACTCGCGTTGCCCTGAGCTGGAAACAGAGTCAAAGGCAGGATCAAAGCCTTTCTGCGAACTGCAGACACGCAGAAGGTCGTCAGCGTATCAATTCCGATGCAAGCGATGAGACCCTGAGCATAGCTGCGATGTGCGTCGAAGCAAGCCGGAGGCGATGTCATCGCCAGGACATCGCATCTTGTATCACGAGAAACACCACAAAGTGGTAGAGCACATTAGGGTTGATGGTTCAACTCGGAGACATCCCGTCATCCCGATCCAACGCCGGTGTACACAAAGGAAGATCTGCAAGACTTGTGCATTCCCGAGCCGCCAGCTATTGCCCAACAAGCAATACGGACAAAGAGTTCATTCGAGCACCTGGTGAGGGTTTCAACTTCCGAAGCAGCGTATCTCGTATTCTTTTTTCTCACTACCACAAAAGCCCAATTGCCACACAATTAGGTCTTGGTAAGGTCATGGAGGCGGCATGTGCGAAGTGCCTGGAGTTCAATGCAGTGGTCCCTTGCACAGACAGGGAGTTCACGGAGCTGACTAAGCTGCCGCCGTGCAAGACCCAGATGACGTGAGACAACTGCTTGGAGCCGTGCCGCGTGTGAGTTGCATAGGCCCGCGGCAGATTTTTGCTGAACTCGAGCATACTCGAGCCCAAGGCGCTTCCAAGTGTAAAGATCATTGCTACATGACATCACGATGCCAACTCTGTAAGCTGTGTTTAAGCACATGACATCTGATTCCTACTCACGAATAGTTCAACGGTCAGACGCGTGCACGACATGGAGGAAGGTCCTGATTACCAGGTAACGTGCGAAACAAGCTCATGTTTCGCACACCATGTACCAATACTGGTACTCGCCATCGACTCAGTCAACTCAACATGTACGAAGCTAAACTCACAAGCCTGAACCTCTGCTTACGAGTAACGCTCTCACGAGACCCAAGTTGAGTGGCTCGACGTATAATGACAAGAATGGTGTCGATTCGCTCCTCGAAGCGTCGAAGCCAAAGCTCTGCCCGCAGTGGCTCCGGACTCCGCGCCAGTCTTTGGAGTGCTTGCTGTCTGACCGTTGCTGCATCTTCAACCGGAAGTGATGAAGACAATGCTTTCGACAAGGCCCTGCCACCATGCAGGATCCAGGATCGGTAATAAACAAAACCTTCGTGAAGATTTCCTACTCCTACTCACACCAACGCCAGCACCACCACCACGACGACTACTACTGCGACTACGACCACCACTACTACCACTAGCACTAGCACTAGCACTAGCACTGGCACTGGCACTGGCACTGGCAATGCTACTGCTAGTAGTACTGGTACTACAGTACTAGTTTACGAGTACTAGTACTACTGCTTCTGCTGCTGCATTCGAGCTGCACTACTTCATGCCGCTGGTTGGATTCAATCTGCGGCACCGGCACCTTTCCAAGTCCCAGAAGCTTCTCGAAGCATGCACAGCGCATCGATGCTGCAGTGTCTCTCCCAGCGGCCCTGCACCTTCCAAAGCTACCAGCCACCTCAACTGTTTGCCCAATGTGGCCTCTGTTTAAAACTGTATGCAACATATGCAACCCTGGAGCTGCGTCAAGCCTTCGACTTGGAGCAAGCGCCCCAGGACTTCAGCACCCGACGGTGGAAGTGGCTCCGATTCTGCGGCAGGGGACTTTGCGCAAGTGGAGTGGAGTGGAGCAGGTCGGCTCTCCTGTGCGTCCGACGAATATTTTTTCGCCTATTACCGGATGATCCTCGGGCCCTCGCGTGCTGTGGAAACAAGAACTCAGCGAGAAGCAGAAAAGCAGAAGCTCGTCATCAAACTTCCGCCTCGCTCTGCTTGCGTGGTCATGGAGCTGGAGCCATCAGGCAGCAGCTTAGAAAAGCCTGCCGTAAACCTTGGCCGAGGTTTGGGACTGAGGTTGGGGACAACGAACACACGTCTCCTGATTCTATGGGAAAAGCGATGGCATCACATGCAGATCTGAAGCTTCGATCGGCCAGGGCACCTGTCGCCTAGATAGCCTCCACTTGGAGGTCCCATGAGTCCCATGTCCCGGAGACCTAGATACACTAGCTAGACAGCAAGTTCCGTTTGCTGCCGCTCCAAGCAGCAAAAGCGCCGGGATTCTGATCCTGTTCTGGTATCAAGAGAAATAGTTTATGATACTTCAAGGCATGCGTCGCGGGCATTCCAAAGCGCCTTCAATTAGTCTACTGAGAAAGGTGGTGTAGAGTAGCAGCTGACGTAAAGGAGCAACCAAAACAGCAGCAATAAGGTTTCTGGATGTTTCTTGGATGCTTGGCAATGCATGCACACAGCCGACAGCTCAGCACCACCCTAGCATGGACAACTGCAGGCCGCGGGCCGCTCGAGTTAATAAACCACAGAATCTAGGAGCTTTGCGGCCCTCTCAGCATCGTTGGCATTGATAGCCGCGAGGAGAAGGCTTCGGAACGCGGCGCCATGGAACTGCGAAGGCAATGCAGCTGCTGCGAACATGGCGCCTCGTGCACAGCATCTATAGGCAGATAGGCAGACATGCATTATGGTCACATGTTGGGAGCCTTCGGCAGGGCTGAGAAGAGACGAAGGTGCGAAGCGATGCAGTCGGCGCTCTGCGGCAATGACGGAGCCAGACGCGGCCAGCTCCAGCAGCTCGCGACAAAGGGCACAGGTCTCCTGAAGAAAGGCAAAAGACAGCAGAGCTCTGCGGCGCAGCGAGCAAAGAGCCCTCTCTTGTGGGTCCGCGGAGGCCGCGACTTGCCTGAATTGGGCACCTGGAAAGCGAAAACAACTCTATCTGCCACCTACGCGTGAAGGACACAGGAGTTAAGGCCTCGATGCGCTCGAAACGGAACAGCTGCTGCAGCGGCAACTGATGCAGATCTCAACGACAAGAACATCCTCCATTGCCGGAATCCAGCTGCAGGCAGTCCACCAAGCTGACGCAAGCAGCACGATGCGCTTGCACAGAGTCCCTGGGCGTCCCTCTTGGGAGTTTCGAGGGGCTCAGCAAGTTTGAGTTGAAGCTGAGGGTCCGGTCGGGTCAGAGGGAGAGACAAAAGAGAGATGCGAGCGCTTGGGCTTTTGGAGGAGGCTTCAGCTGATGACGGCTCAAAAGGCTGCGACAGAGATCGAAAAACGGATGCGAAAGGACAGGTGCAACTGTTCAGCCAACACGACTGCAAAGGTGCAGCTGGCTGCTTTGGCTGCTTTGTGCACGTCACTGGTCGCTTGGGCGCTTTCGTCACGCGTAACCATGACATCGTAGGGCGGACTTCGCCCTCGGCCTATTTGCCCCCACCAGCTTTATCTTCAGACATGCTAGCATCCTCGGCCTGCAGCTCAACGTCAGAACTTCAGGATACTTCAGGATACTCCAGGGTTACCGAGGGTTCCGCGGACTCCTCGAAGTCATCAGCCCCGTAGCTGTCATCCACATCGCTGCCCAGCTCGGCCTCGGAATTCACAAGGGTTCGAGGGTTTCTGGAGCCCAGGACGTCCGGGACTCGGGCGTCTTTGAGGCCGTCTTGACCGAACCTGGCCTTGCCGCGTCCGGGCGCTTCTCGGGCGCTCTGACCGGGCGTCTCCTCGCTGACCCAGAGGGCGCCGATCCACCGCATGTGACAAGCCCGGGACCTCGATGGAAGCCAGCCGCTTTAGCCGTTCCTCCATTCCGAGCGTCGCCTGCGCGGCGTCAGAAATAATGCCGCTCGAAACATGCAAGCGCACATAGACTCTATCTGTGCCTTCTTGCAGTCAGTGACAGTGGAGACCACTTGCTGGACACGATCAGAAAGATCTGCCATCGTCACCTGAAATCTTCAAGTTTGGCTGAGGCATCCCTTCTCGGCAAGCGAATGCGACGTTCGACGGCACAGCCTTGGCCTTGCCAAGTTCTTCTTGCTGTTTGCCCAAAGCCTCCAACTCTTCAAGAACCTGCAGCAGCGAACCGTGCTGCAGCGCATCTTCAAGGCGTCCTTCCTGTCAGCCTTATGCTGTAGCTCCGAGATCTTCCGCTCGACCTGAATGAGAAGATCTGCAAAGCCACTTGCAAAGCCAACAGTGCCCTCCTGGTGCCCGGCCTCTGGCGCCTTGCCCTGGGCTGAGAGCTGCTTTCAGCAAGTTTCTCTATCAGGCGAAGGTCCGTTCCGGCAAGCTACCGCTTCTGATGCAATTCTTAATTCTTGCAACTCATGCAATTGGTTTTTGTAGCAGGAAGTGCTGTCAGAACGTCTTTGAACGACGAGGGTGATCTCATTTTTTATCGAAGCACCGAGAGGTCTGACAAAAAAACCTAGGCCCTAAGTCCAGCGTTTGGCTCTCAGCCTCCCGGCCTTGCTCTGGTCGCTTTGAAGGCGAACCCGAACCTGCGAATGCGAGGCCCCTTTTTGCAAGAAGCTGCCGAGCAGACGGCACCGGCACGGAGAGCCAAAGGGGCAGGGCCTTGCCGAGTTCGCCTTGATGCATCTGCAGCTCCTGAAGCTCCTCCGCCACCTGAGGCGGGCGGAGCTTTCACCATCTCCACGAAACGGCCGTCGCCATTCGCCAGCGCCTGGGCCGCCAAGCGCTCGACGTTCTGCTCCAAGTCCTCGGCGGGAACAGGTCCGGGAAAACACTTGCTCTGAGTAGTCATCTTGAAACCCCTCGCACTCCTGGACCTCCGGCTTTACAAGCTGCCCCGGCTTGACCTTGTGTACACGGCACCCTCACAAGGAACATGACAGCTCCTCAAAATGCTGCAAGCACGCGGTGCCTTGGTCAGCAACTGCTGCTGTTCTGCTAATTGCTCCAACTCCTCCATCACCTTCAAGTACAGATAAGTCAACCGACAAGCCGAGGCGTAGCACAGGAGAGTACAGAAGACCTGCTTCTGGAGCTCTTCGACCCGCAGTTCCAGCTGACGAGCGCCGTTAGACACCTCATCCCAGCTTGGCAGATCTGGGCTCAGTTCTCTGCTGGGATTCTTGAAATTCTTGCCTGCTTCCTGGTGTCTCCGGCCGTCCCTGCGTGGTGCAGATCCTTTCTGCACGCGCGGGATCCATGTCATGCTCCGCCGACAACAGCAAGCACTGGCCTCTACTCGACGGACCAGACTTCGCAAAGAGGCCTTCAGATCGACAGGAACTGCCTTGCACCCGCTTCGCTTGAACAGACTCTCGAGCCTGAAGGTCTGCCACGTCGGAGTGAACTCCGCGCAAGTCGTTCTGGCAGGTCCTGTCTCTCAACACACACGAATCTGAAGCCTGAAACCAGACAGAGGCCCTGGCCTGGCAAGCTGATGAGCTTCGCCATGGGCCTCCTCGGCAGCCGAGGCTCCCTCCGTGGCAGCCAAAGCACGACGAAATCGCTCGGCTGTTGTCCTCGTTCATGATCTCCTCGCGCACGGCCTTCGATGCAGCCTCCGTAGCCTGCCGGTACTCAGAAGAACGAACTCCTGAACACCCCTTGCAAGCTGGGTATCCCGTTGTAAATCAGACTGATGCTCTCTTTCGGCAGCATCTGGTGCGTCTCTTTTATCTATGTGCCATCTCATGCAAAAACGTGCAGTATCAGTATATCGTATTTCACATGTTTTAGCACTTCGCGTCATATCTGGATGCGTTCGAGTCTGTTCCATTCTGCTCCCTTCTGTCTTGGTGTAGTCGATCTAAAACACGATGTTCATGCAGGCTGATATAATGTAACATGGTTCTACATGATGAGCTGGAAAGTCTATCAAGTAACACGACATAGTACCATGTAGTGTGACATAAGATGATATGACTTGATATGATGAGATGTGACATAATCTGCCATGAAGTGGTATAACATGAAGTACCATGATATAACACTTGCATAATATGAAACATCACATATAACCTCGTAGAGTATGTCTGAATGTCGCATGAGATGATGTGAGTGACATGGTATGGTATGAAGATGAAATGCTGCAGGTTGATATGATACACTATAACATGGTATGGTGTAATGCATTGCCATACAATAGAATGTGTGGGAGACAACCGTACGCAGGGTTTCAATGATATCACACAATAGCAAGGAAGATCGGACAGGATAGTTTTGAACTGACATGGAACAATACACTATAGTACAAACTCAGATAAATAGTAATGAAACATGATACTATACGATACCATACAATATGATACAACGCACTATGATAATATTGTATAAGTATGAGTAACAGAGCACAAGACAACAAGTGAAAAGCCATACGACATAACGCGGCACTACATGATACAGTGCCGCACAGTACAACAGCGCAACTATAGTATAACATCACATAACATGACACAATATGACACTGATACTGATACTGGGTTTGACAGTATACCAAAGGGTGTGATATGACGTAAAACGAGACTGTATACTGTGATGCGATGACATACTACAAACCAACATGGTAAACTATGAGACAGTGTGGACAACATGATACGACATGACACGATATGATACGACATGATGTAACATGATACAGCATGTTACAACATGATCCAACATGGTGTAACATGACATATTGCGACAAAGTCTACCACAGTCTGGCACACTGTGGTACAATATGACTTAATCTGATACAACCCTGTAAAATAGCATAACGTGTTAGATAATGCTATATGATTTTATACCATATGGTATGATGACTATGATATGACATGATACGATGTGATATAACATGATTTCATGTGACATGATATGAAGAGATATGATGTGGCGCCGCTTTGCAGCCCCACTATCGTAGGTACACTGTCTCCATAGCGGCAGCATAATTTGACTATCTCTCCCATCAGAACTGCAGCTTGAGTGCTGTAGCCCTTCTATTCGTGATCGTAGCCCATACCGTACATTCCCACCTCCGCCTTGCAAAGCATCCCATGGTTTTTGTAAAATCTCAAACAGCCTTATGAACACAGAGAAGGATAGAGAAAGTCGATGAAGGTGTTTAATCAGTTAAGGCTCCTGAATCACTGAAGGTCAACTTGTTAAGCGATCCCGTAAGGGCACCCAAAATGGGTAGCAAGTGTACGTAGCCTTGCTCTCAATAGACCAGTGAGGTAGCCCCTTGGCTCCGTGCGTCGAAAAATTCGGTTGTGTTGTTTCTCAGGCGGGCACGGCGGTTCCGCGGCACCCGCTGGTGTGTCTTTTGGTGGAAATCGTGCTCCCGCCAAATCACTTTTGTCTTCAGATCCCTCCAAGTCCCTACTCGGGCCAGTCTCCTCGGCACTCCTTGATGTGGTCTCGAAATTCCCCCTTAGCGGCTCAGCAATTTGGCAAAAATCGAACTTGATGTGTATTTCGGAGTGCACATCGTCTTCCCGCCACGTTGTGCACATCCACCTCACATTCTGCTTGTGACTTGTGTTTCCGCCTCAAAGATTGGGCTCCGGCAGCAGTCGGGGTGCTTGTGGGATGGTTCTCGCGCATGCAGGGCTTGGACATAACTGTCCGTCTCTGTTAATGTGTCAATGAAGGGCAGATGGTCTCGACATTGTGCAGAACCTTGACATGCATACCTTAGCCCCAAACCATTGGTGACAATGCTGTGCCACGCGCATGTTATAGTCCTAATACTCCTTCACGCAAGTGTTGCTGTCTTCCCCTTCTCCCTCTTGCACGATGACCTCGCTTAAGCCCAATTTCCTCCAGCCGCTGCGAATATGGTAAGTACGGTCGTACCGTTTCCCTCACATCTATCGACAACTTCAATACGTGACGCGGCGCAAAAAAAGAACGAGTTGAGGCAAGTCTCAGGGGGCAGCGAACGGCATCGATTACCAGGGTGCGTGTATGTCTGTGCGTGCACGTACCCATGCATGCACCTCCACCCGTTGTAGAGCATCTTCAACGGTAGCGCGGATGTCACTGACGGAATCCTGAGCTGCCGAAACTGATGTTTGATGTGCCTTGTCAAGTGTTGCTTCCGAGGCCTTCGACTTGCTGAGCATCTCCGTCAGCTGGTCTTCCAAGGTCTGCATGCTTGCCGAAATCGTCGCTTCTGAAGCCTCTACCTGATCGGATCTCGGCCGATCTGATGCCTGCCGGCTGCAAGCGCAGTGTGCCTTGCGGGTCAAGTCCTTCGTGCTTTCAGAGAGCTGCTCTTGGCTCACCTGGCCATCACTTTGAGCTTTGCGGAGGCGGTGTGGAAGATGACAATGCCACCATTGCCATCATCTTGTCATGCATGCGCTTTAGAAGCTGCAAAGCTTGCCGTGTCGGCGAGCTGCGCCTGCTGGAGAATGACTTCTGGACATGACCACGTGTCCGCTTCTACATGGAGCAACACCCCAAAACGCCTTCTGCCGCTCCAGTTCCTGAGCCATCATATCAGGATCAGCACATGCAATGCAATGCCATGCCTGCTCTTGAGTGCCTGCTGCAGGGCTTTGAGCATCTCGCTGTCCTCAGGTAACATGGCACGCGCGGCGCAGCAACAGAGGTGCATGAATTCTTGGCGTTGTCTTACCCGGCCTTGCCAGATTGGGAGTTGAAAGCCGAAAGCCGCTCGTGCATGCTGGAAGTAGCGGTCTCCTGCGCCTGCATGGTACGCAGGTCTTGCCTCGGTTTGCCTCGCCTCCGAGCGTCCTGCGCCAGGAGCGTCTGCAGGTCCTGCGACCAGTCGCAAGCGTAGTAGCGTAGCTTAGAGTAGCTTCTCGCGAAGGTCAAGGCCTCTCTAGAGAAGGCCAAGGCGTCTCCCGCCTGGGGTGTCTCGGCCTCCAGGTGCCAAGCGGGAGCAGGCGAAACGCGCCGTTTGCTGCAACTGGGGTTTTCGGCCTCCAGGCGGTCCAAGCGGGAGGAGAGGCCCTCGACCAGCTGCGTCAGATCGCGGTTGGAGCCTTCGAGGCCCTTGTGCAGCATCTGGACCTCAGATTTCGTCAGATGGGGTGAGCTCAGTGCACTGTGAGGCCTGGCCCCCCGGCCTTGTCAATGCTAGACAGCATCTTCTGCAGAGCTTCGGCCGTGCGGCATTCAGAAGCCTCACAGGGAGCTGCTAGAGGAACATGCAGATCGTTGAGTGAAGCCCTGCCTCGAACCGCTCCGTCAGCGCGTGTACCTTTGGCAGATCACCTCAGCATGATTCGACACATTGTCCTGCGGGCGCCAGAAGCTCTCGGAAAGAGTCCAAGAAGGCGACTGGCAAGCTGTGCCGTCTCTGCAACGGAGCTATCGGAGAGTTCCTGAAGTCACCATAGTCGCCATAGGCACTGAGGATCACTGAGGCTCAACCCTGCGTCACCGATGACAAATTTGTTCTGTGTCTGCGCCTTCGCCTGGAGCTCAAAGGCAGACCTTGCCATGAGCCATGCGGAGGCACTGAGCTGTACTGAACACTCCTGGGCACCTCACTCGGCGATTTCAAGCCGCCTGACGAAGGTACTACTTGGTTTTGCAAGCACTCCTGCAGCTTGTGAACGACTGCAGGTCCTGAAAGCTCGAACGGCATTTTTGCAGTCAGGAGTGAGTGCCCCGGTTGCACGGACGAACGCGACTCACACGACGAGTCTTCAAGGAGAGATGACAGGGCAGCATGATGCCGCAAATGGCTCCTGAAGCCGTTGAGGCCTCGATTGCACCCCAAACCCGTGACGATTGTGTGAATCCCGGAACACAGTGTGAACGCGACGGGCTTACGGACCTGGACATCTTGTTCAAATCCTCGGTGATCTTGGCTACACGGTCCTGTCAGACAGTAGTTTTGGTAAGCTAGCTACTCTGCCAGTACCAACGACTGCTCCCCAGCTGACGTGTCCCACACATGTTATCCTGCTCCACGACCAAGTCAAAGCGCAAAGACTGCATGTTGCTTCCGCCTGGCGACGACCACAGAGCGCCGGTAGCTATCAGATATGCTTTGCCGCTATGAAAGACTCAGTCACAGGCTGTTTTCTGCCAGTTTGAGAGCTTTGGAGACTCGCGCGGAAAGCTCTTCGAGCTGCACGGCCTGAGTTTATGCGGAAGCTCAACCAGAAAGGAACAAACATGCGAGCACTGCTGCGTTCGCAAACTCTCATTGTGGCACATGGCAATGTGCTCTCTGTACAGGCCTCATCACTGGTTGAACCTGGCATAGGCGAACTTGCCATGGACGCAACGTCACAGATTTGCCGGCAAGGAGCGTGCAGGAAGATCCTGGAGCTTCAAGAGATCCAAGCCATGCTCCATCTGCTCTTGAAGAACCTTGACGGAAGACTCCACCGCGTCGATCCGGCTTGCAGCCTGCGGCATCATGCCCATCATTGAAAAACGACACCACGGACTTTTCCTGTGTTTCTGAGAGGCCTGAGTAGGACTACGTATGCTGGCCGGCCTTCATTTAGTTTCAGGTTTCTCCTCTTGCAGCCTATGGTCCTGTGAATACGTCATCTGGTTAACATGAATGTCAAGCTTCCCGATGCTGCACAACCTGATGATGGTGTCTGCATTGCATGTGTCCTATCCGATACAACAGCGAATTCATGACTCCGCCCAGAACTGTCACGGCTTTCAACCATGAACCACCTCCAGCACAACTGCTTCGCTTGCAGGAGCTGCAATCGCAGGCGGTCGCTGCACAACTGCTTCCTGAGCCGGCGGCAGTCGGATCAGTGAGACATGGTGCATTCCTTCTGCCTTCTTTTGGCTTTTGTCCGAGTGGCCACTTCCACGATGCGAACCACGGCCTGCCCCAGCTCTTCGGACAAGGCCTCCGCGTACGAGGGATGCACCAAACAGAGGCAACAGAGGCAATAATGAAGAAATTACAAATCCCAATCGCCAATAAGTGCACACCGGTCCGTCGTCGAGAACGAGACAACTCTCGCGCCTCGAGACTGGCTTTTGTCGCAAAGCTCTCGCTCCCGGGCGTCGTCGCTGGAATCTCAGCTTGTACAAACGACGCTCCATCATGCCACGTCTGAGGCTGCCACCGGAACTGTGCTGTGGTCTGCCTGCCGTCTAGACATGTGCAGATCTTGCACGAATGACTACATCTCACTCCTTCAATCGGTCTTTTGATCTCTCGCGGCGATAGTGGGTAAGCTGAACCTGGTTCTGAAATGGTGCAGCGGTGCAGCAACTGAGACCTCATGACATCCTGCGGCATCCTACCCACCTCCTGCACAGTGCAGCAAAGTTACCCAGGCCGCTCTGCAGGGGTGTTGTTGCCCCGGATTGCAAAGCAAGCATCCAAGTGCAAAACGCTGCATCCATGAGAGCCAGCTGACCCATGGCAAGTGCAACAGCGCTTGTGGTGTTGCCGCGAATTTGCCTGCATGTGGGTTCGCTCGTCATCTTGTGAAAGACTTCGTGGACAAGCATCATCCAGATTCATCCAGATTGAAACTAAAAAAAACCCCCACCCGCTTCAGAGCCTGGTCGTGTCACTTCCATCCACAATGCAATGCCCCCGAAGAGTTGTGTTGGGGATCCATCGGCCTCGCACTCCTCCTGCCAGTTCTCGGCTGGCATCTCCATAGCATCCTCCTGCAACCCTGTCTTCGGAAGTGTTCGGAGCCCATCGCCCTAGCAGGCCTGGCCCCGCAGAGGTTCACAACCGTCTTCGGAAACTGCTACGACATCGTGGCCAGCTTCCATTGACTGCTTCAGGGGCTGAATGCTGCATACTAGCATGGCTTCGCTGCTCCATGATAACAAACACTTCCATGTATAACTCGTCGACGCAAAGCGAGTCCGCTCCAACTGTGTCACACTGGATCTGCTCAGGCTCACCGCTCACCCAGGTTGTCGCTTTCTGCTACCCACGCCGAGAGGCAGCAAGCGCCTCTCTGCAAAAGTCTGCGCAATTGCCTGCAAGCTTCAAGTGCTATTTGGTCATCCCCTTCCTGCGCCAGGATCTGCGCAACATGCCAAGCTCCTCGAGGAAACTACAATCTGCTGGCTCGCGCCCTAAAAACGCCGCGTACCAAGGCTCGCTCGCATCGGCAAAACAAGAAATTGATTCCATCTAACTTGAGCCCACCAAATCATGACGACAAAGCCGTGAAGGTCGCCCGATCACAAAAGCTCTCAGATCAAGCTCGTCACAAGACACGAATCTGAACACGGAGAGAGTGAGAAAGCTGAGATAAGACCGGATCTCCATCATTGCAAGTGCTGTGCCTGGAGCTGGTCCAGCTGGTGCTCCAAATTTGATGTGCCTCGTGAAGCCACAATGCGCTGCTGGCTGCTTGTGAAGCACTCGTCACCCCTAGCAATTCCAAGCCCAGCGCGGGTTTCATTAGTGGCTGTTCTCTGAGAAAGACGCCGGAGGGGCCTTCTATGACGACTCGAAGGATCCGGGCTCTGCCTGTGCCACCTCGGAAGCTGAGGCCCGTGCTCGGAGATCTCTTTCACAGCTAGGTCTAGACGGTGAAGTTCCGTCCGATCAGCCTCGCAAGACACGTGCCGAGCTCTGCCATTTGACAGGGTACGCTGTTCGATCGGGAACAAGGGATCTGTTCGGCTTCCACTTTTCGAGACGGGGGTATTCAGCCCTCCCACCACGACAATCAGAACACGTACCTGCAGTAGTAATAGTAGTGTTAATCGTCGTCGTCATCGTAGTAGTAGTAGTAGTAGTAGCAGTAGTAGTAGTAGTAGTAGCAGTAGTGGTAGTAGTAGCAGTAGCAGCAGTAGCAGTAATCGTAGTCGTTGTACTGGTAGTGATAGTGGTAGTATTAGCAGTTGTAGTGGTAGTGGTAGCAGCAGCCGCAGGAGTAGTAGTAGTAGTTGTAGTAGTAGTAGTAGTAGTAGTAGTAGTAGTAATCGTAGTAGTAATAAGTGCTAAGCTTCAACCGAGAGCCTCTGCAAGCTCAGCAAGCACCGTTCGCCCGGAGAGTTTTCAAACCGCTTGCCGTGTCCTCAACTCAAAAGAAACGAATGGCAGCCTAGGCTGCTGTTGTTTGGCGACTCGGGACTTCAGACGTTAAACACTTCGCACGTTCGGCAAGCAGTCGGCCTGCGGCCTGTCCCACCGACCGTCGACATGCACTCAGAATTCTCCGGTTAAGGAACCCAGACCCTGCGCCCGGAACATCTATTCAGAGACCTGGTGCCGACCCCTTTTTGCGGGGTCGGCGGCAGCGGCGTAAGCCTTAAATCGGGCAGCGCTCGGTCTCCGAGCGCGTGCCGCCGACCCTGCTTCATCGCACCCTCGTTTCTCCAGTGGGCCGCGCGGGACCTCGCCCGGAGGCCTCTCGGCTCTGTTTTGCCAAGTTTTTGAATTGGTTGCGGAAGCCCCCAAAGGGCGCGCATCATTAGCATCAGCGGGGTCCGGCGGAGGGCGGGTGCGGGCTACATGGAGGGCCGACGAGGACTGAGAGGGCAAGCGGAGGTGCAAACACGAAGGCGGGTGCATGGCCTCGCTTCTGGCTTCTACTTGCGCTGCCCGCCCGTGGGCGCAGCCCCTAGAATAGTACTACGTAGTACTATCGGCAATCAGATCGTGGCTTGTCCAACAAAGGGCCTTTGAACTGAGCATCCGTGCCACATGACGCTGCACGTCGTCGTCTCATGCATGTTGGGCCAAGAGCATTCATGGCCGAACTATGATACTGCGCATGGTCTACTGCGATTTGGGAACAGAACTCAGGGTTTTGGGACTCGCATAAAACTTCGCGATTCTATCGGGGGTTGTAGTGTTGTCTCTAGATTCGCTGTCGCTCATGCCGTGTCCCATACTGTCCCACAGTGCTTTTGTCATCTGCTACTTCCTTGCCATTTTCAAATTTTTCAAACGACCTGGATTGCTCCGGTTCTTGGGCAAGGTGTGGGCGCCTGATGATGATGATGACTATACCTCATGACGATGATGAGCACCATGACGATGATCATGATGATGTTGACACTGAGAACTATGACGACGATCAGTGCCATGATGAAATCATCTCGATGCTCATGATAACGATGATGATTTGAATGAAGGTGCTCAGCGACGGGCGTCGCACCAGAAGGACCAAGGGTGGTAGTAAAGTAGTAGTAGTAGTAGTAGTAGTAGTAGTAGTAGTAGTAGTAGTAGTAGCAGTAGTAGTAGTAGTAGTAGTAGTAGTAGTAGTAGTAGTAGTAGTAGTAGTAGTAGTAGTAGTAGTAGTAGTAGTAGAAGTAGTACTAGTAGTAGTAGCAGCAGGAGTAGTAGTAGTAGTAGTAGCAGGAGTAGTAGTAGTAGTAGTAGTAGCAGGAGCACGAGCAGGAGCAGTAGCAGTAGTAGTAGTAGTAGTAGTAGGTGGTAGTGGTAGTGGTAGTGGTAGTAGTAGTAGTAGTAGTAGTAGTAGTAGTAGTAGTAGTAGTAGTAGTAGTAGTAGTAGTAGTAGTAGTTAGTAGTAGTAGTAGTAGTAGTACTAGTACTAGTACTAGTACTAGTACTAGTACTAGTACTAGTACTAGTACTAGTACTAGTACTAGTACTAGTACTAGTACTAGTAGCAGCTATGCGCGCCTCCAGCTCTGTTTCTTTGCGTTTTTGGGCGTTTTGCTAGGGTGCCCGGGGGTGGGGTCGGGGGGGGGGGGGCTAATAACGACATGGTTGACCGCAAGCAGTAACGCAGTAGCGCCGGTAGCAGTAGCAGTAGTAGGATGCTTGTGACAATGTGTCTTGCTCCACATCCCTGCGCAGCATGTGCTACAAAGAGCAAAAATGCTGTAAATACCAGTGTTTTGGGCATCATCGCCAAAGGCAGTGACATGAACATTAACCTGACCATCTTCACCATCATCTTCATAACCAGCATCCGCGCCATCTTCAACATCATCGTTAACCTGATATAACCTGATCATCTTCATCAACATCCTCATAGTCATCGTCCTTATCATCATCCTCATAATCCTCAAAATAAGTCCACGCAAGTAGTTGGAGTGGCTGTACCCGCGCGTGTAGTTTCAGCCACTTTGGGCACTTTTTCGGGGTTTGGGGGGGGTAAGGGGGGGTCATTACGTGCTTTTGGACTTCTGCAAGCCCAAAACGCCCAAGCTCGGTTTCAGGTTGATGGTTTAGGGTTTCGGGCTTAGGGTGAGTGGATGCTGCTTGCAAGTTCGACTCTAGATAACCCTGAAGCCCAAGCCTGACTTCAAGCTGACGTTTTCCTACACCGGCACTTTACCTGAACCCTAAACCCTTTCCTTGCAGCCGCACAACTTGGGTTCAGTGCTCCACTTCTGCACTCGTCTGCGTGCCCGACGGGGCTTGGAGCATGTCAACCCTCAACCCTAAACCGTCAACCCTGAACCCTAAACCATAGACGCCTGAAGCTTCTACACTCTCCTGGAACACAACCTGGGTTCAGTGCTCCACTTCTGCACTCTGAAGCATGCCCGACCGACGGGGCTACGAGCATGCCAGACGACGAAAAGGCGACTTTCCGTAATAACTACTTGCGAGCAAGTACTCAAACAGCCTGCCCCCCAATGTAGGAAAACATTGCCCGATGTGCTGAAAACCCATCCCTGCCGATGTTTTCTGCACGCCCATCACCCATTTCAATGCGAGCAAGTAGTCAAATAGCCTCCCCCTTAAAATAGGCATGCGTTGCCCGATGTGCTGAAAACCCACCCCTGCCGATGTTTTCTGCACGCCCATCACCCATTTCAATGCGAGCAAGTAACTAGTCACATAGCCTCCCCCCTAAAATAGGCATGCGTGCGCATGCCCGATGTGCTGAAAGCCCACCCCTGCCGATGTTTTTTGCACGTCCGTTGTTGAGAACATGCCTTTTGTACCACGCGCGGGAATCAACCGCGAACCAAGTAGTTGGATCGAAGTTGGCTTAACTACAATTTCTGAAAACTACTAAAAACCCAGCTTTTTTGACACTCGAACACTCAAAACTACCAGGCGCCAGGAGGCGCGGAACCCTAGTAGTTGGTGGCGCGCGCGCCGGGTCCCTGGTGTTAACCTGTTGCTTTGGGGGGTTTCGGGGATAGCAATGCTTTAGGGGTGGGGTGGGCGCGCGGGGGGGGGGGCGGTGATGACGTTCTACGACCGCACACCAATGCAAGGGTCGCACACATATGCAAGGGTCGTCGACAAATGTTCATGTGTATGTAACGTCTGAGATCTATGTGGTGTTCATGACATATAAGACCTAGAAGGCACATACAACATGCTTTTCATCAGAGACTCATGAGGCATTTCAGGCACTGCGCATGTGTTCCACGCAGTCTCCGCCTGGTGCATGTGTTGTGTCTTATATGTAGTATGTGCCTAAAATGCCTTTTAAGTCTCCGATGAAATTTTATGTTGTATGTGCTTTCTATGCTTTATATGTCATGAATACCACATAGGAAGTTACATACGCATGAACATAATATATCGGCGACCCTTACATATGTGAGTACGATGCCCAGAACCTTAAGCCCCAGAGCTCCCTGCCTTGGCAGCAAATTTTAGAACCTACAATACTTCAACTTCACTTGTCGGTTCAGGTCGTTAATAGTTTTTAGGGTGTTTTCAAAACCCATTTTTGCTAAGAAATTAGCTTTTTCCCTAGGCAATATTAGTGGTAGTAGTGGTAGTAGTGGTAGTAGTAGTAGTAGTAGCAGCAGTAGTAGTAGTAGTAGTAGTAGTAGTAGTAGTAGTAGTACTAGTAGTAGTAGTAGTAGTAGTAGTAGTAGTAGTAGTAGTAGTAGTAGTAGTACTAGTAGTAGTAGTAGTAGCAGCAGGAGTAGTCGTAGTAGTAGTAGTAGTAGTAGCAGGAGCACGAGCAGGACTCCTCTACAATACCAGCATAGTAGTTGCTCGCGTGCTTGCTCGCTTGATTTCTTGTTTTCGTTCCTTCTTGGTTGCCTATTCTTATTGGCCTGCATATTGGATGGCTTACTGGCCTGTCTTCTGGCTTGCTCATCAACTTGCGTTTTTACCTGCCCATTGGCTTGCTCCTTGGCTTGCGTATTGGTTAGCTTGCTGGCATCTTGCTCATTTGCCTGCTTGCTGCTTGCTTGAGAAACCAACACGGATATAAGCTTCAAAAAAGCCCCCCTGTTGTTATGTCTCGACAAGCCTTCTCCGAAACAGCCTCCTCGTCGATCAGCTCGAGCCTGTGCTCCAGCCTGGGGCTGTGGACTACCGGTTGCCCAGATTTGCACAGCCATCTCGGGTGCGGACCCCTCGACTCGAACCATAAGTCCACAGAGCTCCTGCGCGGCGCTGCTCTTCGTTTGGAGGCTACACTTCGCCGCACTCTCACGACTCAATCTCCTCCTCGCGCTGCAGGCTGGGATCCAATAGTGCCTCGAGTCGACGCAGCTGCTGATCCTCGCATTCGAAGGCAAATGCACGACACCCCTGGTGAAGCTCATTTTGCACGCACAGGGCACTATACTGCTTGCCTGGCGCTACATTGTTGTGTCTTTCAGACTACTCCTATGTTGGCCACAGCAACAGTTGTCTTCCAAGCTGGCTGGGAAAGGCCGTGGCTACCGATTTCACTCTGCATCACACTCTCCACACGACAGGTGGTGTTGGAGCACAATCATGCGAGCAGAGCGGGCCTGCACAGCACATGTTTCTCTGAGGCGAGAGACGGCAGCCTGCAGTTGCAGTGGCTAGGTTCCAGAAGATGCAAGCTGGACCAGAACCTCAGAAGTAGGATCTCTTTCGCGGTGATCCTGCGGTGTCACGAGACATCTGCCAGAAACACAAAGGCCGTTCAGGTACTTGGGGGGCACCTGCAAAACGTCTTTGAGCTCATTCATGGCTTCTTCGTTGCTGTCGACCAGCCTCCTCACCGAATTGTGTAGAACATGAAACTGTAGTAACAATAGTTTAGTACCAGTCGGAGCAGCGGCCGCAGGACTGCGGCAGGAGTTAGTAGTAGTAGTGGTGGTAGTAGTAGTAGTAGAAGAAGCAGTAGTAGTTGTTGCAGTAGTAGAAGTAGAAGTAGAAGTAGAAGTAGTAGTAGTCGTCGTCGTAGTAGTAGTAGTAGAAGCAGTAGAAGTTGTTGTTGTAGTAGAAGTAGAAGTAGAAGTAGAAGTAGAAGTAGTAGTAGTAGTAGTAGTAGTAGTAGTAGTAGTAGTAGTAGTAGTAGTAGTAGTAGTAGTAGTAGTAGTAGTAGCGGCAGCAGGAGTAGTAGTAGCCGTGCGCGCCCCCAAGCGCCTGGTGTTAACCTCTGTTTTATGCGTTTTGCTAGGGTGCCGGGGGGGGGGTGGGGAGGGTGGGGTGTACAAACGACATCGTTGACCGCAAGCAGTAACGCAGTAGCGCCGGCGCCGGTAGCAGTAGCAGCAGCGCCTCTGCAAACACAAAGCCTCGAAAAAAAAGATGCGCGCCCCACCCAATCATCATCCTCACCATCTTCAGCATTATCGTTAACCTGACCATCTTCATCGTCATTTTCACAATCATCATCTTCGCCATCTTCAACATCAGCGTTAACCTGACCATCATCATCATCATCCTCATAATCATCATCCTTATCATCATCATAAACCCAAGTAATTAGTTTTGTTGAAGTTGGGTTAACTACAATTTCTAAAGACTCTGAAAAAACCCAGCATTTTACACCCTCGAACCAATGAAAACTACCAGGCGCCAGGAGGCGCGCAACCCTAGTAGTAGTAGTAGTAGTAGTAGTAGTAGTAGTAGTAGTAGTAGTAGTAGTAGTAGTAGTAGTAGTAGTAGTAGTAGTAGTAGTAGTAGTAGTAGTAGTCGTAGTCGTAGTAGTAGTTGTGGTGGTGGTGGTGGTAGTAGTAGTAGTAGTAGTCGTGGTAGTAGTAGTAGTAGTAGTAGTAGTAGTAGTAGTAGTAGTAGTAGTAGCAGCAGCAGCAGCAGTAGTAGTAGCAGCAGTAGCAGCAATAGTAGCAGTAGGAGCAGTAGGAGGAGGAGGAGGAGTAGTGGTAGTTAGTAGTCGCAGCAGCAGCAGCAGCAGCAGCAGCAGCGCTCTGCAAGTGCACTTCGCCAGCACAGTGTGCAAGCTGTTCCATGCCTGGTTGCCCATTGTAGACAATGCAATGCTTATGCTTCGCAGGTTGCTCGGCGAAGCATCCTCTTCCGTCGCAGAAGCGGTCTGATGTCTGGCTGTCTGGCTGCGTGCGTGAACAAATATCGTCCTCTGTACGCCAGACCCTACCCAAGCGGCACCCAAGTGCACATCCAACCCCCAACCTGTTCCCTGAACCCAGAGTGTTAAGCTGTGCAAAATGAAGGCCTGCAGCATCCCTGACAGAACCTCACGCCCTCGGCATCCCCCAACCCTACACCATCCTTAATTGTAAGCCAACCCAGAGAGACTCTCGACTAGTGACTATTGCGAGTCAGTGTATTGAAGGACGGTGCACGATAGCTCGAAGTATGTGCACACGCTCTCAACATGATGGAATCCACACCTCGACAAATGCTCGAAGCGCTGGTCCATCTCGGAGCGATCCGCGAGTCTCAGCTGCTGCAGCTCTGCACGGAAAGCCTCCGCGCGCAACTCATTCCACAGCAACGAATTCGAAATCTACTTCATTCTGTATGGCTACTTGCGACCACCTCGAGCGTGGGGGCCACCACCTTTTCCAGGCGCTCGCCTGCTGCGACTAGACGTTGCTCCTGTGGCTCCGGTCTGTGGGTGAGTTGACTCCATCCAAGAAATCCTAGGAGACTTGCCACAATCTCCTGACCCTCGGTGCGCACACGCAGGCTGGCCAATGCTGAGGAGTGGTCGTCGAGCTGAGCACAAGCGAGAACAGGGACACACAGCCGACAGTGAAGCTGGGCGGCAGCATGCGGCGGCTCTGCCTGTGCTGCCAACTGCTTCGAGAGCGTCGAGAGCTCGGTCTCCAAGGCCTCGGCGACTCTGCGACGCTGCGCTGGGCTGGGCTCTGCTGGGCTCGGCCCAGGCGCTAACTCAGCGCTCAGGGCTTGGCGCGGACCACGTCGTACCCCGGGCCCTCCGCAACTGCGTGCACAGACCTGGTGTTGACGCCTACTGATGCTTACGGCAAAGCTTGCATTGAGACTGCTTGGGGCCTTGGGTGGGCCATAGTCGTGAACACGAAAGCAGCAAGAAGCAGAACATGTTTCAAGAACGCAGCAACAGCAGCTTGATCCAAGGCAACTGACAGCCATGAAAGACCATCTATTTGAGGGGCAAACAGGGGGGAACGGCTGAAAGAAGGAACCCCGGCAGGCCTCTGACGAACTTCGAGAACACCAGGGGACCCAGGCGAAGTTTGTCGAAGGTAATTACAAACCCGGAAACTGTCAGCACATCTGCAGAACTCTCGAAGTTGAAACTTGTTTCCCGATGTTGCCTCTGTCGTGTTTCCGACTGGTCCCTCTACCGAAATTTCACATTGTTGCTTTCTGGAGAGAGCTCAGATTCTTAAAGGTAAGCGGCGAGGATCCCGCTCTTATGGCCATATTTCGATTTTTTACGAACTAAGGTCGTTGAACTCTGAGATTCCAAGACATGGGCAGGCAACGCTTGGAGCAACGTAGACTTTGAACAACAGAATCCGACTGTCTGACCCTCCTTCGCTTCTTGGGGCAGCGCCCGGGAAGGCGCCTGCTGGGGCTCAGGGAGTCCAGTCTTTGCCCGGTGGTCACCACATTCCGGAACTCTTCCTCCAAGCTCGCCTTGGACCGAGCGGAAGTCCGAGCGAACTGCAACCACTGCTGGCCGCTCTCTCTGCTCTTTGAGCTGCTGACTTGTTGTCCTTCCAACTCCGAGAGCCGGGCCTCAACGGGCAGAGGCGGGCTCGGTGGCTTGGCTCCCCCCCTCCCCCCTCAAGCCTCCAAGCGCATCGTCGTATCCTCAAGTTAGCCCAGTCTCCAAAGACCTACCCTTCCCCGACTTCGCAAAACAAGTCCTGCGCAGGGCGCCGGGAAGCTTCCTCCAGAGAGGCCAGTCGCCGTGTTTGCTCCTGTGAAGGCAGCGGCAGCAGATCAGATCTTTGACTGCTTTGACTGGGCTCCAAGGCCTCCGAAGTTTGTGCCACTTTGCGGAGCTTGGCGGTCTGGCGCTTGGACATCTCCTACACCGTGACTCTCGTCTCACTGGGTCACTGGGTTGTGTGGCATCCGACAGGACAGGTCTCCTCGAAGGTGGAAACTGCCAGCTGGACCTAGGAAGTTACATCTCTGAGTGTACAATTCCAAAGCATCAAGCGTTGCTGGTAAATGATCCAGGAAATCAGCCTTTTGCTGCTGGCTGTGGACTTGCTGCTCCACTTCCTTGCCGAAGATATTCAATATTTGTCATTGCATCTGGCAACAGCACAAAGGCACAAAGTGTGTACAACAACTTACTGGACAAGCACACGGCAGCAAGCACGATGATCGAGAAGGCTTTGGCAGCAGTTCACGAATCATCCTTGAGCCTGCTGCACGGGTGCGCTGCCGCAGCAGCTCTTCGCAGGATGCAGTCCGAATCCTGACCACTACGCAATCTTGCACGGAGAGGTGCTTCGGTTGGGCCGTCCTCAGCTTTTCGTCTAGGCCTTCTACGCGTCGTACCAATCCGGCGACCTCTTCCAGCAGTCCAGTGACACTGCCCTGCCAGACAACACTTCTGATCACAAGTTTCTGCCTAAAGCCTAGGCCTGAAGTCAGCCAAGTTCAAAGTTTAAAGTCTAGACGCCTGGAGGTCCGCCCAGCGCTCACGACTGGCTGGCATAGCAAGCTGCTCCTTCCAGTCGTGAACGCTCTTGATCACTGACTGCCGGAAGCTTCTGGCCTGGAGCCGCCGCTCGAGATGGTCCAGCTGCCGCTGTACGAGGCGCCGATCCTCGGCCCCTTGACGCTGCAGCTCAGCCACGACGATGCCAAGGCGGAGCCTCGGCACGGCGCTTGCAAGCAAAAATTCAGCCAGAGTTTGCCCTCTCCGAGGCCGCTGCTCAGAGCCAGCCGGGTGCCTGGGAGTCCTGCCGACGGCAGGGACCAGGGAGGCAAGAAACTGAAGCTTTTTGAATGTCTCCGTCGTTCCACGGTTTAAACCCTCTGACCAGTCGTGCTTAAGCAGTTTAGATTGGGTGGTGTAAGCCTGCAAGTATGTGTTTGAAACGTGGTGGTCGTTTGGGATGCCAAGCACCTACATAGCAAGCAGGAAAAGTCCAAACATATGACAAGTGTATCCAGATCTACCTAGGACCCTAAGATTCAAAGAGGGCTTCATGTGTTGCACTGTAGGAACTGGAAGAAGTGTTTTAAACATGTTTACATGCACACCTTGAAAGATGGTTTTAGCCCTTCAGAGGCATGACACTGGATCAAATCCACAGACTGGCCAAACATGTTTAAACGGGTTCAGGTCTTCAACCGTCTGAACCTAAGCGTGCTTAGCACGACCGTGGGTTGTTTTCACGACATCGGCAACATTTGCTTGGCCCAGGGCTTGTTTGGCCCTTGCCATAGAGACTTAGTCATCGGACCTTCGAATCCCTTTCCCTCATTAGGCCTGCCCCGGTCACGCTGGACCAACGACACCCGTTGTGGTCAACCACCCCAATTGCCGGAACAGAAAGGACAGGCCAGCCGGCTCGAACAAGTGGACTTTCCAACAGCGTACTGGCTGCGTTCACGGGTCTTCGTCTTCGTTGCAATCAATCGTGCCAGAAGCAGTACGAAAATCCTGAACTGTTAAACTTCGAACCAACTTCCAGTCGCACGATTCTGATGCACAATCACTCGGTCGAAGCATTCCTGGGAGATGCCACTGGCCCGTCTCCGCTGGCCCAGGCATGAGGAATGGCTCCTGAAGCGTGTCTCGAGCATCGAAAACGTTGGAGCTTCGGCCGGCTGTCCTCTGTGAGTCATAGCACCTGATGCCGATCTGCTTTGCCTAAACTGCAAACAATCAGGTGCACATGGCGCTTGTGAAGCATCCTGCAACATTGTTCAGAAAATCCGCGCATCTCCCCGGCTTCTACTGTGCTAAGGAGTGCTCAGGCACACGCGCGGCAGTTGTGCTCACGGTTTGAACTGGGCTCATCGATCTGCCCCGATCGAGCGGAGATGCTGCTGCCAAGTTCTCAGAGGAGCCTACAGCATAGGCACAGAACTGTGCACTGGATGCGAAAACGATGCGAAAAAAGGGCGCTCTGTGGCGGTCGCTCTTTTGCCTCCATTGGAGGCCCGGGCGGGGCCCTTGTCCGCCATGGGCGCGGGGTGCGAAAGCGGCCCAGGCTCCGTCATTGCGACACTTGGAGCCCGGAGCGTGGTGCTCTTGACATGTTGTGGCTCAGGGTCTGATGAGAAGCAGTCATGCAAGGACCGACAATTAAGTGAGGATGTGATTCATGTTAGCCATGCGAGTCTTTGAGGTCTTAGTCCAGAATTGGGCGAGGTTCAATGTTGCATGATTTCTAGCATGGCCAGCTTTGCGGGTTCAATGTTGTTGCTTTGCAGCATGCGAAAGGTGTCCATGCTGCTGATTATTCTGGCTGCAGCAGGGAGAAGCGAAGCTACAAGGCCACGAGGCAAGATACAGAAGCCAAACAAACGAAATGCAAACTCGGCAACGAGAAACGCAACGGAAACGACAACCAATCAGGATTTCGAAGGTGATGGTTCAAGATGCCAGGAAAGCCCAACAGCCGCTTTACGAGTGACTAAACAGCAAAACTTATAGAAGCAACGTCTCACGTGTGCAGATCACATCCTTACAACGCATGCGGTTAACCTGCAGATAGTACAGGTACGACAGTGTGGCCATGAAGCTGTTGTGCTGCTGACACAAGTCGTGGTGATGGCGCTCTGCTACGGCAGCAGAAGCGGCCGAACAGCATGGCCATGCCGGGATGGCAATGACGATGATGAGGATGAAGATGACATTGACCATGACGACGACGATCTGATCATGCAAATGACGATTCTCAGGGTGATTCTGATGGTGATGAGGATGCCGATGACGATGTTGCTGGTGATGATGCTGATGATGATGATGATGATGATGACGATGCTGGTGGTGACGAAACAACCCCATAGGCTGAGTCTTTCAACTTTCCTTCGCACTTGCGCTCGTCAGGCTCGACTTAAGCGCTGCAGGTTTCCACAGCTGGAGCTCATCGATGGCCTAGAGCCACCAAGAGGAAGATAAGTATAAGAAAAAACTTTGAGCACTGAGAAAGGTGTTCTCCGGAGCTCATGGATGGCCTAGAGCCACCAAGAGGAAGATAAGTATAAGAAAAAACTCTGAGCACTGAGAAAGGCAGCTGCAGAGCTGTAGGACGGCGGGACGGACGAGGTGGAGCTCGGTTCTACGGTCTCGGAAACTTTCGTGGTCTCTCGTGACGTCGGAGGTGCGGAGGTGGAGGCCAGGTTGAAGAGTTCATTGACTCCCCACGTCTGCCCATCCACATAAGGCCAGCAACTGCTGTCGAAAAACACCCTCCGGGCTCCCAGCAAAGCCGTGCCCTGCTGTGCAGCATCGTAGAAATGAAATGTAACGATCATGACGGGCTCGCCGACAGCGTCCGTATACTCAAAGAAAGCCACATGCCCAGGTCCGATGTAGCGACTGCCGATTGCGGACTTGTCACTTGCAGAGACGTTCAAGGCGGATCGCAAGAAATAGGAGCCGCCAGGGTTCTGCGTGGTGCTGTCCAGCACTGCCATGTCCATGCCATTCTTGTCCACATAAGGTCCGAAGGGGCTTGTAGATCGACCCATCACGGTCTCGTATGTTGAAGCCAGGCCATTGCAACAGGCGCCCCAAGTCCAGAACAAGTAGTAGTATTGTGTCCCACCGCACTCTTTGGGCAGAACAGCTGGCGCCTCACCCGTCCGACCCTCTGGGAAGTCGGCACCGTTGGGATCCGAGTAGCAAGTGGCCACGATCTTGTAGGCCTCAGCCACCTCGCCGGAGTCCGAGGTCACCGAAGTCTTCCCGACGGTGTTGGGGGAGATGAAGCCGTCGTCACCCAATAGAACGACCTGGGCTCCTCCAGGCATATGAGAGCCCCACACTAAGTAGAGGTTACCATCAAAGCCATCGAATACATCCGGGTCAATTCCCAAGGCCTGAGTTGTCTCTGCAGTCCACTCCTGCTCGTTTGGGTAGACCAAAGTCGTTGGCATACCATCCGCGTCCAAGATGAGGTTGCTGCAAGTCACCGGCTTATCGTCCGACACCCATATCTCGTCACGGCTCCCGTTCCCTACCGCCCGCCCAATGCACGCGGCACCCATTTCGGCTCCATCACCTCTACAAGGTACCGTGTGAGGGAGTCGGAGGGAGGGCACCCATTTCGGCTCCATCACCTCTACAAGGTACCGTGTGAGGGAGTCGGAGGGAGGGCTTGACCCAAGTGCGCAACATTAGGGTTTAGCGTCTAGGGTTTAAATGCTTAAGGTGCTTACTCCAACTGTTCAGGGGCAAAGCCGTGCCTCCAAGCATGTAGACGGAAAAGTACATCACGCAGTGGTACTTGTTCGAATTCTTCGTGGAGCTGAACGTCGGAGAGCTCCTCTCGAACTCTAATGGGGAGCTCTCAAAGTATGAAGTAGAAGCCAGAAACGCTTTCATCTCATTCTCTTAACTCCTTTAAGGCAACTTACAGCGCATGCTAAGTTCAATCCATCCAACTGTTTTCAGGCCCCTTGCAATTAGAGTGATAGGTACCTTCATTACTGTTCAAAGCATTATCGCTTGTAGTAAACTAAACACCTGCAAATGAGATTAGTGGATATTAGGAAGACAATACTGAATAATAGTATTATTAGTGATAATAGTAATTGTTAAGCCGACACTTGTGAAGCAGGTTTCTGGAACAGCTGTCTTGTGCGCCTCGCCTTTCGCAGCACCGAGGAGGGAGGGTTGCGGTCGTGCTTGAGAGATCAGTTGACAGGGTCAGGGCTACCACTTCTGAGGACGGGGTCCTTTCAGAGTTGGTCTCAGCCTGTGGGCAGGCTTCAGCATTCGGCACGTCTTCGGGGAAGACCTTTCAGCATTCAGAGGCCGGGGGCCTACATTCCACAAGGGGTTCATACGGTTTACGGGCTACCATTTCCACATTGGTAGCGGAGCCCGGCCTGTCATAGTGTAGGTGGACACTGTGTAAACAGGGGATTCCAGAGCCGAGAGGATAGGTCCAGAATCGTCGAGCCATGGCTAGCGAAGGGACGGAAGCAGCAGGTAGTTCAGCTGGTGGAGCGCTGAACAACCTCCCCTGGCAGCAGATTCCCAAGTTCACGCCGGGAAGTACGAACAGTGATGAGTACCCCAACAGATTACAGTTCATTAGGGATCTGTGGCCAGATGAGCACATTCACTTGCTTGGTCCCAGAGCAGCTCTAATGGTCGAAGCGTCTGCCTTTCAGAAGGTGAGCCGGATCCCAGCCGACAAACTCAAGAACAAAGATGGTGTGAAAATCCTCGTGGAAAAGCTGGGTGGTGCGAGGGGGCGTACAACGGTGGAAGACAAGTACTTCTATATTTTGAGCGGGCGATCTTCCAGACCCAGCAGAAGAGTGATGAATCAATCGACTCGTATGTTGCTTGGCATGATGCTCATTTCGAGGAACTGATCTCTCACAGCGTTCAGCTGGAGGAGGTCAGAGCACATGTGCTACTGCGGCAGAGCCCTGAGGACAAACGGAAGGTCATCGTGGAAGCGGGTGGCGACTTGACTTACGCAGGGACCGTGAAAGGCAGTGCGCCTCCTCGGGTCCCGGTTCTTTGGGGAGCTACAAAATCGTGGTGCGGCTACTGCAGGTGCTCGTGGCCAAGAACGAAACAAAGTGTATGACATCAACCTGGCCGAAGATGACGGGATTGATGAGGCTCACGTGGCCGTGGTGCCAGAGAGCGAGCCGAGTGATGAGGAGATCGTGGCCTTTTTCATGGAGCAGAACGACGAAGATGCCATGTACATCGCGGAGTTTGAGGACCACATGGTGGATGCAGCGCGGTAGTCATCTCTAGCTCCTGTTTTCGCCACTTACCAAGAAGCTCGCCAGCGTTTGAGGGAGAAAGCACGCAACCGCGGATATTTTCCCGTGGGTGGAAGAGGCCGCGGAAAAGGAAAGAGCGGGACACGTCAGCACAAGGGAAGTGCCTTCGATGGTGGTCGACGCCGCAGCCTTGCGGAACGCATTGCCTCGAGCAACTGCAAGCTGTGCGGAAAGAAGGGTCAGGCTCGTGATGAAGGAAACAAGAAGGAGGTGACCTTGTACTCCCAGACCGAAAACCTCCACCTCTCCTCGACCGAGGTTCTCCACTCCTTGCCCGAGGATGCCGAGCTCTACTTCGCGACCGATGGTGATGAGGACTTCGACGAGAACCGCGGAGATGAGGCTCAGATACCGATAAGAACCGCAGCGAGGGAGAATCGAATTCAGTCAGAAGAGCAGATGTGTCTGGCCGTTTTCTCACCTAAGGTGCCGAAAAGTCCGGATTTTCTTAATGCTCTTGCATGTCGTTTGGTAATGCCTGACAGGACAGCTAGACAGACAGCCACGCGGCTGACCGGCCTGGGACAAGACCAGGCACCTGCTTCTGTGAGTCGGGACAGTGAGCAAGGCTCTTGCGGGGAAGTTTTGCAGCATGCGAAGCCGTACACGTTTGAAGACCCGGTTGCTCTGGTTGTTACTCATGGTGCGGAGGGTGTCCTTGATACAGATGCTAGCCGGACTGTTGTACGGAGCCGTCGGGTCAACAACATTTTGCAAGGGCTTCCCAGTCAGTGTCGTGATAGGGCGCGCAAGGCACGGTCAGATGTGACATTCCGTTTCGGCAACAGTGGCACGCTGACTGCAGAACATGCTCTGCTTCTCCCGACTGCAGAAGACACTTGGATTCGAGTCGAAGTAGTACCAGGCGACACTCCACTGCTAATTTCTAACCGGCTATTGTACGACGTAGATGCGGTAGTCCATGTTCGCAAGGGTGTGTTAGAAGTAGGTGGCCGAACGGTAGAGCTTAGAAGGGATGAAAGAGGCCTGTCGCTGGTGGATCTCACACAACTGTTGCCTGGGAACGTGGCGCCCATTTTGCTTTCTGACGGCAGCCTGCCGCAGCAACACAGCATCGACAGAACACTCTCACCACAGCCGCCAGTGGATCAACACTTTTGCGGAGCTCACCCCACGACAGCAGCATCGAAGCGCTGGATCAGCTCCCAGAGGAGCTGGACCAGCTGACCAGCCTTTATCGCGAGGGAAGACGATCACGATCGCTCCGAGGAGCACCTGGCGATCGACCAGTACTTGACGGTTCACTATGTCAAGCCACCACACATCTCGACGCTTCGCCAATGGGAGGAAGTTGTGCTGCCACAGGGCAAGCACAAGCACAAGACACACAACGAAGTATTCAGCAACGATCTGACGTATGCCATTCTCATGGCTCGGAAGACCTCTCTGACGTCGTCAGGGGCGCTGTCGTTCAAGAACTACAGCCTGGCACGATGGAAGGGGATGGCTCAGGCGGCCCAAGACCAGATCAATACGGATGCCAAGAAGCCAACCACGAGTCACGGTCCGGGTCCAAAAGCCAGCAAGGGCAGCAAGGCAAGTTCAGCGATGTACGCGAAGATGGTCGGCGACTCGATTGCGCCCTGCTTTATTCCGCGGTTCATTGGAACCACAGAACTGCCCCAAGGAGTCTGCAAAAGCCCGCGCGTCCCTCTCAAGAGCCCTCTCCAACATACCATTTCTGGTCCCGGTCCAATGCGGTCCTCCAGCTTACGCAAAAGTACATCCCTCTCCAAACTGTCAAAGGCTTTCTCCAGATCTAGTTTAAAGATGGTGACCGGACATTTTTTTTCACGGGCCAGATCAAATAATCGTATCACCGAAAAAAGGTAATCCGATGTTTGTCGTCCTGGGCCCGAGCACTGGATGTATGACTGTGGCACAATGTGTGGTAAGGCTCTGTTCAACAACATCCTGCTGAAGAGTTTCGAGACTGCAGAACCCATTGCGATAGGCCGTAGATCACGCGCACGTTTCGGGACCTTCATCTTAGGCAACATGACAAGAACCGGCTCGTTCCAACGCGCGGGGATGACACCTGTAACCAGTATTCGGTTGTACCATCCCAAAAGATGCGTTTCCCCACCGGGCACCTCGACGAGCCCCAGAAGCAACTCCGACGAAGTCAAGTCAGCACCAACTGCTTTCCCTTTCTTGAGGTGGCTAACACCATCCCTCAGTTCCTGCAATGTGAAAGCTGCGACCTCCCCCTTCCACGGTGTAGGTGGGACCGTCTCGTCACAACCCTGGTAGACCGACGCAAGGTGTTCATGTACTGCTTCATGCGGATCACCCACCTGCGACTCTGCAAAGGCAATGTCCCACCCTGCGTGCCGTTTGGGCTTAAGCGCTTTGAAGCTGTGCCATTCTCCCTGGCTGGCCCTCACCAATCGGTCCCATTCCCATTTTCGCCTAGCCTCCTTTCTGGCTTTTAAGGCTTGCTTCCACTGTGCCGGGGAACCAGACTTCTTGGCTGTCTTGAAGGCTTGTTTGACCTCGTTGGGGTCCCTGTATCCGTGTCCCGGGGCAGGCTTGGTACAACGTCTTGCAAGGTCCTCAATGATACTCTGATCCAACCCTTCGACCGTCGAAATACCTCCCGTCCATACCCTTGGCTGTGTGTCATGCCGGTTGTGAATCCGTTTGGGGTCTACCACCAAGTGTGCTTCACAAAGTTCATGATCGGTGCCTATACGAAGGTGCGAATCAACGTGTACCTGAAGTGCGGATACCCTCACATGTTTGACCGCCATAATGTCAATGCATTGCCCTTGTCTGTCTGCTTGACGAGGTCTGCTTGTAGGTGTATCCAGCTGTGTCGATCCATGTGGCACCATCATCAGCCCTCGCTCTACCAACGCCTGGTGAAGGATGTGACCCTTGCCCTCTTTTGCAACTTCTGTCGTGCCATCTCTGTCCCTCTGCCATCCAAACGGTGTATTGACATCACCCTGAAAAACAACTCGGTGGCTTGCTCGAGGGAGACCCGAAAAGTGGTTGTTGACCTCCCCCTCATAGGTTGCGACTGTTGCCCCCGGTGAAAAGTGTGCCGTCCCCGTCCATATCTCAAGGTCACGTTCGAGGTGTTTGATCTTAAACCAAGTGCCTCTGTCTGTATACACCCTCCGTACAACACACCACGATCTCGTGTCATACCAGATACCTGTGCCGCGCCACTGGTTGTTGGCCCTGTGCGAAAGTACCCGTCTCCCTGCTAGTTCTTGATGGTTCCATCCCTGCTTTTCTCTCGGAACTTCCTGCAACAGGACAACATCATCCTTTTCCAAGGCACAATCGGAGGCCTCTCGCATTGCCTTAGGCAAACTGGAAAGCTCGGCGCCTCCAACGTTCCAGCCCCAAAACTTGATTCGGCCTGCATCCCTGACCTCCGCAACCGGTGTGTGTACTACCTCGGGGCCCGAACCTGGAGGCAGCTGAACATGACCTGCAGAGGCATGCACCTGATCAGCTTCAATTACGTCTTCTCAGAACTTGTGCTCTGCAACCTCTGCACTTCCTGGACATCCACTTCTGCCCATCTGGACAGAGTACGCTCGTCGATCCACCCTTGCCCTGCTCGCGTGGTAATCACCTTAGCACCCTTGACGTCCGGCGGTGGGTCCAGCATGCCGGTGAGTTGATCTTCACGAATCCATGTCCTTCCTGTTGTATATTCTACGTCGAGGTCGCTGAGTCTGTCTGGGGCGCATCGTAAGATCACCTTCCGGACAATGGAGGCCAGAGAAGCGCGCCCACGTTCCTCCGGTGTCTTGCTGAAGCTGCACCAGAGCGTGCGTTCCGAGCCCTCGATCACTGCCTTCGCTGCGTTCACTGCTTGGATCACTTGCAGCATCCGACCACGAGGTTCATCTTGGCCTTCCTGATCCCTCCGACTGAAGGAGCAGAGCGCCACCGAGCGCCTCGCTCCGGTACAGAAGGGGGAATTGTCAAGCAGGTTCCAGAGTCCCAGCTCCCTTAGCCCATGTTCCAATTGCTGAAGAAGGATCGCACGGCGAGTGCTGTTCGCCCACCCTCCGAAGACCAAAGTATTCTTGCGGTCAGGTCCCTGTGATGACGTGGAGGGCCTAGCTTCAATCCGGCTAAGTCGATCCCGAAGCTCTCGTACTTGCTCCTCAAGTTTGTCCGTCTTCTCTCCCTGACCCTGAACCTGTGCTTCGATGCGATCGATCTTGGCAGCCTGCCGGTCCTCGAACTCGCGGAAACTGGTGGCCATCTGCAGCTGCTGGGCTTGCAGCAGCGATTTGGACTGTTCTTGTAGAAGGATTCGTAGCGACTCCATGTTGAGGGCCCCGGGATCCCCTTTGGGTTTCTTTGACGGACTATCTCCAGAAGACTCCGCTCCCCTGGTGCGCCTGTCTGTATCAAGGTCCGCGTCTGGCCCGTCCGGAATCCCTGGAATGGACAACCTCATCCCCGAAGCCATGCCGTAGCCCGGAATCACCCCCGCACCGAACTGTAGAGCCTCCACGGTCCTGCGGAGGAGCACGCCGGGGTAGCGCCGAACCGAAACCCTGTGGTAGCTTAACACCCCGAGCAAGAGCAAGAAGCCACCGAAGTCACCCGCTACCACGCCCGTTCCACGCGCCCACTCGGCAGTCCTCTATGGCACACCACCTACCACAGCGCGACCCTTCAGAGTGAACCTCAGGGCCTGGGGTTTTTTTTTTTTTCAAGGGCCCAGGGTTCAGGGCCCAGGGCTCAGGGCCCAGGGTTTGGGGCCTTAGGTTGAGGGCCTAGGGTTTGGGGCCTTAGGTTTAGGGCCTAGAGTTTAGGGCCTTACGTTTAGGGCCTAGGGTTTAGGGCCTTAGGTTTAGGGCCTAGGGTTTAGATGTATGTATATACGTGTGTATGTATGTATGTTTGTATGTATGCATGTATATGTATGTATGTATGTATGTATGTATGTACATGTGTGTGTGGGTGTGCAGGTGTGTATGTTCGTATGTGTAGGTGTTTATGTGTGTGTGTGTCTGTGTGTGTATGCATGTGCTTATGTATGTATGCATGTATGGAGGTATCTGCCTATGTATGTATGTATATATGTATGTATGTATGTACCTATGTATGTACTCATTTACACACACATACAAATGTATACATAATTGCGCATACGTATATACATGCATGTGTATATATTTACAGGTGCGTATATATAGATATATATGAAGATACACAAACATGTCTGTATATATATATATATATGTATACATGTCTGTATCTATATATATTGTTTGTGTATGTATATACATACACATGTATGTAAATACGTGTGTGTCTACCTATATGTAATATGCGTGGGGGATTGATCTCGACTTGGTTGCTGCTCTCCCCACCAGAGCTGTAATGGATATAGGTGTGGCTGGCTAGCACTCTCCACAGACTGGACCCTGTCTTTCCTTCTTACTCCCACACGTACGATCCTATGCAGGCAGAACCGGCGGCCGTTCCTTTTGCACTCACTGCCGGCGGCGGTTCGTCTGTGCAACGGGATAGCTCTGATTGCTCAGGATAGAAGACACATATAGCACTTAGCTATGGGCATAGACTTGAGCCAAACGTTGCGTTGGCGGTCACATAGAAAGGTAAAGACGAGGGATGCGTAGCATGCCCCCTAGAGTCGAGGGACGCGTAGCGTGCCCCCTTCTCTTGCACTTTACACGGTCTTGCTTACAGCTCTTATAGTGACACCTTAGAACTTGACAAGGCATCGCAGTCCGTTCGCACCCCCCATGAGTTGCGTCTCCGACGCTGCTCACCCGGAAGATGGCACGATAGGACAACAGAAAAGTTCCGCCGCAACGTTGACATTGAAAATCAGAGCTTTACATCCCAATTAGAAACGTTGTGACACTCATCTACGTCAGTAACGATCCCCTGAAATGACAAACGAATCAGGCGTCACCGAAGAAAGAAGCGTTCGCGATGGCATTCCACGGGCGAAGCTCAGAGGTCACAAACTGATAGGCGGGGAAGATCAGGCGTTGTCTCGCCACCATCTTCGCGTTGACGTAGGATCGCGTTCCCAGGGCCTGAGGTTCTCCTCTGGATACTGGTTTCTTGGCTTTCCTTTGTCCTTGCCTTTGTTT